GAAGATTGATCCTAGGGTCTCCACACTGAGCTACAATCCAATCCTTTCCTAGTTTTTAATTTTGAGACAGTATCACTAAGTTGCCCAGGTAGAGTGTGAAATGTCTATCCTTAAATATCCAACAAATATTTACTTAACACCCAACTTTAGTTCTCTAAGTGCCTGATATATAAGTGCTCAGGTATAAAATTTCTATTATGGTTACTTACAGTAACGTGCATAGCAAGCAGTCATTTTTGCAAATATTGCAATCTATTCATGGAGCTGTCTACAAGCTTTTACAAGAATTTGGTGAGGGCTCTTTCTAAATTCTAAGAATTCTAACAAAAGCAAACCTCTGTTTGATCCAGAAACACGTTTTCTTAAATTCATTTTTTGGAGATAAGAGTTCGAGCTCTGGGGGTTCCTCCTGCCTCAGCCTCTCTCATGTACCATGTATCCTTTAGAGCACTTTTTTTCCCTCTCTATTTTACAACAAAATTTACACCTTTTGGGTTTTATTACTCCTTAGTTCTTATTATTTTTTTTGTACCATGGGTGTGCCAGCTTAGCAACACATCTGAAACGACTGCACAGCACCTGCCTGGCAAGTGTGAAGCCCTGAGTTCAATTCTTGGTACCAAAATAAATAAAGAAAGAAGAAAATGAGAAAAAGAAACTAAAAGAGAATTTTAAAAAATGTTATTTTATTGCTTTTTTTTTTTTTGGTCTTTTTCAGGGATCGAACTCAAGACCGCCTGCTTGCAAGGCAGGTGCTTATGCCGCTGAGCTAAATCCCCAGCCCTTTTTCCTGTTTAATAGCATCCCGTTAAGCTGCCCAGGCTGGCTTCGGACCTGTGCTCCTGAGGTGCTGATATTACAGCCTAGCACTACCAAACCCTGCTACTTCAACTGCAATCACAGGCAGCTATCATGAGGCCAAGCATCACACAACACTTGCAAACTTTCCAAAGAACCTGTGTTTTTAAAAGTGCGACTGATATTTTTGTTGTTGTCAGCTTATAGTTAATCAAATGAAAAGGCAATCTTACCTGGATGCTCATGTCAAAAGGAGTCAGTTCATTTTCACCCTGAGATACAAACATGGCCCTGGAGGCATCCACCAAAAAAATTAAACTATCTCTTCCTGAGTATTTATATTCTCCTAGGGGGTAAAAACCAGAAGGGAATGTTTACCTGCATATTTGTATTTACCACACACACAAAACAGAGAAAGGCCCCTAAAACGAAAGCATAAACTAGTGAATGATAAAGCAGATACTCTTAAAACCATCACCCAGGGAAGGCAACAGAAATAAAACTGCTTAATTACACAACTAAAGCCAGCAGCACCCCAGAGCCCATTCAATTACAATACCCAGCTCGGCCCAAAGTAACTATTATCCTGACTACTGACGGTTACAGTTACTTCCTTTCCTTTATAGTTTTATCATTCAGTGACATTTCTAAATATTAAACATTAAAAGTCAAAGTTTTGACTTTTTAAGAGAGGTTTTGGGAGTCTCTTAGTCTGCAGATTTTCCTCTATCTTCTGTTGTAAAATATCTGCTAAAGAACCAGGACGCTCTGACACATACTTTTAACTTTCCTACATGCTGAGTTATGCTCACTGAATTCTTCTTCACTGTTTCCACCTCCCAGTGCTGGGGATTGACCCAGGAGCTCTCTAGCTGTCCACCACTAAGCTACATACCCAGCTTTTTAAATTTTTTTTTTTTTTTTTTTTTTTGGTCTTTTTCGTTTTTATCAGTACCAGGGATTGAACTCACGACTGCCTGCTTGCAAGGCAGGCGCTTATGCCGCTGAGCTAAATCCCCAGCCCCTTAAATTTTTAAGACAGAGTATCATGAAACGGCCCAGACAGGCCTTGCACTTGGAATCTTCTTGCATCAAATTCCCAAGTAGCTGGGGTTACAAATGGGTACCGTACCCAATACATCATCTTGTTTTGGTTTTCTGTTTGTTTGTTGTCTTTTTGAGACAAAATCTCACTATGTAGTACCAGCTAGCCTTGAGCTCACTTTGTAGACCAGGCTGGTCTCAAACTTACAGAACTCACAATGATCCTCCTGCCTTCAGTCTCCTGAGTGCAAGCATTACAGGCAGGCAACAATATGCTCAATTCATTGTCTTGAGACAAGAGTCTCTAAATTGTGTAGCCTGAGCTCAAACTCGTGATTCTCCTGCTTCAGTCTCCTGAGTAGCTGAGATTATAGACAAGCACCACCATACCCAGCTACAATACTGCTTCCAAATACAATAAACTTACTCAGCTTCCTTTTGGAAAAAAACATAATAGTGCCGTACCTGTCAAAAATCTTAGTAAAAACTATCTTAAGCAGGTGAACTCTACGTCATAGCAATCTACCTTAAGAAGATATGGAAAAAAATCCTTGTGAAAAATTTACTACAATGTTATTTACTAAAGCAATAAATTGATTCAAGATCAATCTGGGCAATACAATAAGTTCTGGCCCAGCTTGAACTACATAGCAAGACCCTATCTCAAACCCACTCCCCCAAAACCAAAGCAACAAATTGGAAATAACTAAAATGCCCAACAGGAAACAGAATTACAGTACATTTAAAATGTTATAGGGGGCTGGGGATTTAGCTCAGCGGCATAAGCACCTGCCTTGCAAGCAGGCAGTCGTGGGTTCGATCCCCAGTACCGATAAAAAGAGAAAAAAAAAAAAAAAAAGAAAAGAAGTTATAAAGACCACATATATGTAACTGTGTGTAAAGATATACAAAACATTATGAAACTTAGGTTTCCAGCAACCTAGGGAACATTATGAAAATGAGACCCTGATGCAAAAATTCATAAGACAGTTTGATGTGTTGGTGAACACTTGTAATTCTAGTTATTCAGGGGGCTGAGTAAGGAGGATTCCAAATTCAGGCCCGACTGAAGCAGCTTGCAAGAACCAGTCTCAAGGGACTGGAGATTTAGCTCAACAGCCTGCCTTGCAAGCAGGCAGTCATGAGTTCAATCCCTGGTACCGATGAAAAAGACAAAAGACAAAAAAAAAAAAGTTAAAAAAAAAAAGAACAAGTCTCAAATAAAAAGGACTGGAGATGTAGCTCAATGGTAGAGATCTCACCTAGCATGTGCAAAATATAAAAAATAAAATACAAATACAAAATGTCAGTAGTGCTTACATTAGAGTGATATACAGATTACAGTAAGTTTTATTTTTTATTTTCTATATTTCTCAATTTTAATACAAAACATTTTTGGTACTGTGTCCTTTAATTTATTTTTGTTACTAGGAATCGAACTCAGGACCTCACGCTTGCCAAGTAGGCACTGTGCTGCTGAACTATATCCCCAGTCCTACAAAACACTTTTTAAAAAATAATTTAAAATTTTCCACTCAGGTATATAGACAACACATACCATTCATTTCTCTTCCTTTGCCCTCTGTGTCACTGTTCTGCCGAACCTAAGGTATATCCTTAACTGTGTCACTAGTGTTTACTTTTCCATGGCTGCACTTACTGTAGGGGGAAGGCACTTTTATAGAGGTCCTGGGATTAGTAAAACTACTTTCTTAAGTGAGGAAGGGTCTTACCTGAGCCACATAAGGTGACAAAGGATACCCCCGAAAAGGTTCACTTATTGGAGTTCAACAGATGTCAACCTACTGGTAACCAAAAAAAATGTAAGGCTAGAAATGTCCCACAGACATAATAAGAATAAATGAGCCTAGGGTGGCTCTGCAAAGATCAAAGAGGGAGAAGTATTTCAGACTGTGTGGGGAAAGAAAGGTGGGCCATTACACAGCAAAGGCCACCCCGCAGAAAGCGGCAAGAAAGGTATTTCTGCTACACACAAGACAGCACCACAGGATAAAGTCACTCACCACCCGCGTCAGGGCTATCCTCCTCCTCCTCTTCCTCTTCCTCGCCCTCGGTTTTATAGTAAGACTCCCACCCTGACATGTTGGTTTCTGCTAAGTGAAAAAAGATGCGATAACAAATATTTTTCTTCTTGAAACATGAGGCTATCTTGTCCAGGGTAGTCTCAAACTCGCGATCCTCCTACTTTGGCGTCTGGAGTACCTGGTATTACCAGAGTGCGCCACAGTGCCCAGCAGTAATAAATCTAAAAAAGACCTAATCTTCTGGGTTCTTTTGAGAACTGTTATAAAGCCTCGGAGACACTATTGAGGGTGGGTCCTTATGCCTCAAGAGCTTCCGGTCCTTGGAGTGCAGAGGGGAAGGGACTCGGGGTCATTGTAGCAGCAGCTTCCCCTTAGCTGTGCGTCACCGGCACTTCAAAGCAGCCCAATCTTGGATCCCGCGTCTAACGCTCTCTGCACTCCTAGAACTCTACTCCAGCGGAACCACGTTCCTCGTTCCGCCCCCTAATTTCCCTCACCTGCGCAACCAGCCACGCCCACAGCAGTTCAGCGCTGTTTGAGGCCTCAGAAGCCGGAAACCGCCTCCCCCGCGAGCGGCGGGATCCAGCGGCAGCCTTTACTCGGTGCTGCAGTTCTGGCGGATGCTGCCTCCAGGGAGGCTAAGGAAACGCGCCAGACTGAGTGGCTTAGCAGGGCGAAGCCAGCCCGGGTCTGCAAGCAACACGCACAGAACACTAGAGGCCTACCTATGCCTCAGCGACCAACGCTGACAAGAGGACACCACGCACGCGCAAACTGCTGTTCGCGCTCCTCCGCAAACGCTTCTTACGTCATTACGCACAGCACCACCTTCTTCCTATCTGGCTGACGCGCCCACTCCCACAGTCCGGCACAGGTCTATTGGGGAAAGCCCCGCCCCTTCCTGGAGCCCCTCCCCGTTTGGCCTTACGCACATGCGCGGGAGTACATCCCCGCCCCGCCCCCGCTCCCTCGTCAGTGCAGACCCTCCCGGTCGGCTCTGTCACCTCACAGTAGTCGTTGCCGGTAGCGGGTGCGGGGGTCGCGAGCAGCGCAGGGCCGCCTCTCCCCCGCCCCTCAGGCTGGGCCAGGGCTTGGTCCCCACCCCGCTCCCTCTTTTCCCCACCTCCGTCGGGTACGGGAAGGTCCCAGCCTCTGCCGGGTCCCCGAGGGCCATCGTGGCCGCCACCACGGGTCCCCATGGAGTCGCCGCATCTGTATCCGGTGAAGCTCTACGTGTACGATCTGTCCAAGGGCCTGGCCCGGCGGCTTAGCCCCATCATGCTGGGTGAGGGGACGGGGCAGAGAGCAGATGGGGAGGAAAGCGGGCCAAGGCGGAACGGGGCGAGGGCGGGGCGAGGGAGGAGATGCTGGGACCTGGGGCATGGAGGAAAAGGGGAGAAGGTGGGGGTCTGAGGCTTGGGCTCCCTGAGCCTCGCTTTCCCATCTTAAGGTTTTCATCTGGGGAGAAGGGATAGCGGACTCATGCCCTGCACTTGCTAGGGGCTCGGGCAAGGGACCATGCTCTCCAGACTCCTTGGAGCTAGGGGTCCTGGCTGCTCACGGCCTCGCCTCGGCCGCCCCCACCTTTCTCCCTCCGCGCGGTGCCGGGAGTTGAGGATGCCTCCCGCGGTGACCCTCGTGGTGAAAGGGACACTGCAGAGGAGATTCTCAGGTATCCCTCGTAGAGAACTTCCCTCCGCGCCAAAGGGGAACTCCAACTTCCTCTGCAGTCCCCAAGGTAAATAGGTTGAGAGTTGAGCTGCAGATTGGGCCCAGCTATCCCCTGCACCACCACCAACCCCCCACCCCACCCCCGGTAGAGGTCAAGGCAGGTCAGTCGGAGTCCCAACTTCGGAATTCACCAAGTTCGCCCAAAACAAGACGGTCTTCTCCCAACAGTTTCTAAGTTAATTGCTTTGACCCAGATATTAAGAAAAGAATTCTGGGGGAGGACTGGATGCTGCTGTATGAGCAAAGACTACTAAAGGAAGTATTTTGTTTGTGCTTTATTAACTACTTGAATGATGGGGGAGATGAGCCCTTCCTTGTTCATTGCAGAGATCAAACCTCCCTTCTACCCAAATACCAGAATGTGTTGCATTACCTAGGAATTGTCAGCTTTGTAATTCAGGTAATAATTGGCAAGAGAAGATTCTAGGAATTGAAAATTGAATAGCTTTGGCAACATCCGTTTGAATGGTGTTTCTTGGCTTCTATGGAGACATTGGAGAATGAGTTAGTTGTTCATTGACAAAGGGGATCAGAGATCCAGAAGTAAGACCTTTTTGTGGGGGGGAGTTCCTGGAATTGAACCCAGAGCCCTATGCATGCTAGCCCAAGCACTGTACCACTGAACTATAGCCCCAACCTTTTTTGTTTTTGGAGACAGGTTCTTGCAAAGTTGTCCAGGCTAGCTCCAATTTGAGATTCTCCTGCTTCAGCCTCTCAGCCTGTACCATCACGCCCTGGAGAAGGATATTTTGGAGGATTTCTTTTCAGTGTCTCTAGGCTTCTAATAACGTGTTATAGTGAGTTAATCCTTCTACCATGTGCTAGTGAGTGATTTCTATATTTGGCTTCACATCAGAATATCTAGGATGCTTGAAGAAATACAGATACTGGCTGGGGATGTCGATTGGTGGTAGAGCACTTGCCTAATATTCATAAGGTTCTGGATTTGGTCCTTAGCACCACCAAAAAAAACAAGCACCAAAAACTCTTTATTTCCAATATATATTATTAAATGCGATTAGAAAAATTTTAAACAGTTTAAAAAATTTAATATGTGAATGTGCGTTTTAAGCAAAGGATACATATGTGCTTACTTAGGTAAATTTGTTTTCTAGGAAGCTGTAATAGCGGAGCATATGGAAAGCGAAGCCTGATGCCAGAGAATAGGACTAAACTTTCCCTTATTGTTTCATATACCATGTATTCAAAATACAGAAAGTTTTAGATATATGAATTCTAGAGCTGTACTTCAGAAGTCCTAAATCAGAATATCCTAGAATTTTGAGCCATAAATCTGTGCTTTAATAAGCTGCTCAGTAATTCTTGTGCAGCTAACCCATTATTGGACAGAAGTTTGGGCCTAGCTCTCCGGCTGTTAAAATGTGTAAGGCAGGGGTAGGGGGTATCACTCCCTGACAGCATTTGCTCAGCATGTACAGGGCCTAGAGTTCATTCCCCAGCAGCACACACACAAAAAGTAAGGCAAATGTGAAAGCAAAACTTACAAAGTCATTGGGGAAGTGCTGGTCATTAATCGATTACATCAGTCAGGTTCTAACCAAACTTGGAATGGAGCCATTTGTTTAGTTTAATCATGTTGAGGCATCACTTAGGTATTTTCTAGTCCCATAAATAAAAATATCCTTGCCAGGCATGGTGGCACACACCTGCAATCCCAGCAGTCAGAGGCAAGAGGATTGCCTGGAGTGTGAAGCCAGCCTGCGCTACATAGTGAGACCTTGTTTCAAAAAAAAAAAGCCTTCCTCCCTGCACTGGGCACTTTTAAATTCTGTTATCTAATAATTATTGCTCTTTGCTGAAAGAAGCCTTGGGGTAACACTTCATTCAACAGATACTGACATGCATTACTGTGTGCTAGTCAGTGTGCGGGAGACAATAAGGATAGGTAATACTCTAAGTAAGTATAGATTTGTGTGCTCTGTGTGGGTCAGGAAGCAAACTGGGTGCTGAAATAGCAAATAATAAGTGAGACCTACTTTAAATAAGGTTATTATTAAGAGTAGTCACTTTCAAGTTGGACCTTTAGGGTGAGGAAGAAGTAGCCCCTGGAGGTGAATGAGGAAGTTACATTGATCCAGGCAGAAAGAGCTCCACCTGCCAGGGCAGGAAGACAGGAAGCAGTGTGGCCTAGTACTGGAACTGAAGGCAGGCCTTGTGGGTATAGTGGGCAAAAGTGAAGTACCTTAGACCTACCCTTTTAAATAGGTGTGAGATCCTAGAGGGATCCCCTCTAGGATTCCCTGACATGGGAACTTCACCAGTTTGTCACATCAAGTACCATGGTGTTTCTGAGGATATCATTTTGCTTACAAATCTATTTCTTTTTCACATATTGCTTTTTTGCCTTTTGTAAAGGCAATGGAGAAAAGATTTGCAGAGCTAGTGGTCATTACTTTCTAGAAGACAAGGGAAAATAGACATTGCCATTCTTATTCAGTTCATTCATATATCACCAACCTTAAATAAGATCAGGTATATCTCAGTTCAGTTAGTTTCCTTAAAGAATCAATTTGCTGATTTTTATAATGAATTCTAGAAGTATCAATAACCAGCATTTATCAAGGGTTTACCATGTGCCAGGTCCTTTTCTTCTCAGTATTTTGCATGCATAAGAATCTTCACCACAGCTCTGTAAGACAGGTCCTGTTACTGTCTCTACTTTTCAGTTAAGAAACGTAATACAAAGAAAGTTAAAAATTTGCCTCAAGTCACACAGCTGGTAAATGGTAGAGGAAGGTAATAAAAACAGACCAGATGGTCATTTACCATGCTTCTCTAATGTGTAGTGTGTTCTCTTGTTTCTGATACAAATGTTCAAGTGTCAAAGGGAATCCTTAGCCAAATATTCCAAGTTTGGATGAGAGAGAAAAAATCTGAGTTCAGTGTGTATGTGCCATTCATAATCTAGAGAAAGATTATCCTCTTAGCCTTCCTTTTCCCAAACTAAATACATACTGTCACACTTTAGTTGTGTTAGTTCCCCATTGTCAGACTTTTGTTGTGGTTCTTAACTGTACTAGATGACACCTAGTGAGTTCCCTCTCAACCATGCGGATTCCACACTTTACCCTGTCCTGTGTTCAGTGCCTTAGATTGCCTCCCATGGAGGAATTCCTGTTCCATAGTTTATTAGCACCAAAATAGTCCCACATTATATTTGGCATTCTAATTGAGCAGACAGCCTGAAGGCTCCTTTCCCCCATATAACCATCTGCTCAACATAATTAGCTATTATAATTGTCCTTTAGTTCATTCTCTTAATCATTTTAGCTGCGTTTCAAATTTCTTGACCCTTTTTTTGGTGCCAAAGTAATCGAGATAAATGTAGATTTTTTTTTTAATTGTGCTGAGAGGCAGAACTTCATTATTTACTTTCTGATCTGGTGTTTTTTATGCATACACACATTGATATTTATTTACAAATTCATCTTAAAATTGTTCTTAGGCTTGGGCCAGAGATGTAGTTCAGCAGCGCAGCAGCATCTTCCTGGCAAGTGCAAGGCCCTGAATTCAATTCCCAGTACTAAAATCATTCTCAGATTTGAAGATTTGGGGAAATAGGAGATAGACTTAGATATAGACAGAGAGAGAGAGAATTTCTAGGCAAAATGCAGTATTCTTATTTTTTTATCGAGACAGTCTTACTCTGTAACTCAGGCTGGCCTTTGGCTCTCAGCAGTCATCCTGCCTCAGCCTCCCAAGTGCTAGGATTACAGGTGTGTACCATCACACCCAACTAAGCAAAATGCAATGTAATGAATATTTGAGTTTTTTTTCTGTGCTCAGTTTCTTGCTTAATTCTGTAGTAAAAATAGTAATATCCCCAAAAATAAGGTGCACACACATACAAAATTATGTATAACAGTATAATGAGATTATGATCAGATAACACAATGAAAGTAGTGAGCCAGGCTGGTGGTTGTGGTAGTGGTGGTGTGTGTGTACAATTCCAACACTCAGGGAAGTTGAGGCAGGAGGATCACAAGTTTAGCCCAGCCTGGACAATTTAACAACAGCCTGTCTAAAAACAAAACAAGTGAGTGGTATAGCAACTATTTCAGTTATTTCAGCAATTGCCTGGAGCTCCTGGAGAGCAGGGACTCAGTCTCATTTTCTGCAGGTCTCCAGTGACCAGAAGAGGTGCCTAGTGAGTTGGTTTTGTTTATTTTTGTGGTACAGGGGATCAAACCCAGGCCCTCACTGAGCTACACCCACAGCCATACGAAGTATTGATTATAGAAATTGATTAAGGCTTGGACCCAAGCTTGCAGATTGTGTCAAATTTATTTGGATGTAAGGGAGCTTTTTTAAAAACATCTTAATGCCATCCATTGTGCTTTGTCTTTGATTTTCATTGTTCATTGTACAAACTGTTTAATACCCACCAAATGAATGGACTTAGTAATTGTGGGATTTCTTATGAATGCTGCTGCTGCTTATGCTCTGCACCCTCGCCTGCCTGCACCTTATTATCGACACACACTCCCCAGCTTTTGTCCACCAGGTTCTATAAGAGAATCCAGCCCTGGGAAAAGTGATGAGTGACCGCTTCCTTTAGAACATTAGTGCTTAACCCTTGCAGAACCACACTGAAGCAGGACTGTGGTCCCCTGAACAGGACAGAATATCTGCAGGTCTCTTTTTCTTGTGGTCTTTTCATGGGCTGTCCCCACTCCCACCCCGACAGGGTACTTTCTCTTACATCTCTTGACCTGCTATCCTCTGCTCATCCTGAGATCTCAGCTACATTGTCACTTCCTCCAGGAGCATTTCCCTGACCACTACTCCCCAGGCTTACTCTTGTAGGCCTGTTACGTGTTGATAGCACCATGTATGCTCCTTTCATCTTGTTTTCCCCTACTCTGCCCCTCACAGAACTGGAAGCTCCATGGGAGCCTGAACTGTCACTTGTATCCCCAGAGTCTAGCACAGTGAGCATCCAGGAACACTGGCTGGTGAATGGTGGGATATTGTTACCCTCAAAGCATTGCTGCAAGGCCTGGCTGATAAGAGGCAGAAATTAAGTGAGAACCTCCCAGTACCAAGGAGAACTCAAGTTACTTTTCTGTTGGGGCATGAATCCTGTACTAACTCCAGGGAATCCTAGTACTAGAGTATTACATTGTGCTAAATTGCCCATGTTAGACTCAAACTAGCAATCCTCCTGCCTCAGCCTCCCAGGGTTCTGGAATTACAGATGTACACTATCACACCTGGACACTTGCTCTCCTGTCAGTTTTTATCAATTTTTTTCTTTTTTGGTACTGGGGACTGAACTCACAACCTCATACTTGCCAGGCAGGCTTTTATGCCCCCAAGCTAAATCTCCAGCCCTTTATCAATTATTGCATGATGATTTCTGGATAACCTTTCTCTGACCAAAGGAAGAGCAAAAGGAGAGAAAGAGGTACTTTTATACTGTTGACTGCAGAGGGTTAGTTATGTTACACCATAGCTTTTACCTTTTCACACCTATATTCAAGGTTAATAGCTGATTCGTTAGGTTAATGCTAAGCTCTCCTATTGCTAGTAAACTGCCTTTTGGAAACACTTCATTGTTGGGGAGGAATCTGTGAGGCAAGCTGGGGCTATGTTTGATTTATACTGATGATCTCATGTATTTCCTTTCCCTGCCAGCTGAGACAAAATGCCACCCTCTCAGAGGCCCCTGCCCCTGGAGTCCCATCATTGTCTCCACTTTCCGCTTATTAATAGACGTTTATTGACAGCGGCAGTGTACCAGGTGCTGATCTATAAGCAGCATGCATGTCTATGCACAAACTGTCCAACTCTTTCGATCAATGAGGAGCTGGGTAGAGTGTTTTTCCTCGGCTTTAATACACAGTACTCCCTTTGCTGTTGTAATCGGTAGAAGGCCGGCTCATATAGACCTTGCTCTGCATTCTCTGCTACTCATGCTGGACATCAGGGCTGATGGCCGGCCATGTCCTCCATTTGTTACCCATGTTCATGCTTCACAGACCTCAAAATGAATGTGTTGGAGGTGCCACAGGCCTGGACTCATGCAGCCGTCGGACACCTACTCCAGCTTACCGAGGAAATCCTAATGGGAAGTAGTCCGCTGCTATACCATGCTCATATTCTTTGGACCTAAGTCAGGTCCCCAGATGCCCTACTTCAAGAACAAGTGACCATCCTTTCCTCACCTCCCACCCTAGTCAGGCCCCCAAAATTTAAAGATCAGCTCAGTTCTACTTTCTGATACCTGGCAACCTATCAAGCCATGGCCCTCATTCTCCTCCTCCCAAGGGTGGGGCACAGAGTAGCAAGCCTTCCACTTCTACCCAAGCTTCTCCAACAAGTTCATTTCCCTATCTTGCTTTGTCTTGCTTTTATACCAAACCCTTTATCTTTACTCACCTAGACAATCTTTGCCCTGCCCTGCCATTTAGTAATGTTGCAAGCCTACATACAACTGCGAAGAACTTTAGAAGAATAAAAGTAAATGCACCCATTAATGTGTGCATTGTTTTTTTCTGCTGCTAGGAATCAAAGCCAGGGCCTTGCAGTTGAAAGGCAAAGTGTGATTTCTAGCTCACAGACCATTTTAGTGATCAATAGATTATAAAGGAGAATGAAGTAAACTTTGTATCCTGCAACTTTTGAGTTATTTTCAGGTGTAAAGTCATTGTCTGAATGATCTCTCCATGTTATTGTGGTAAACCTGGGTTTGAGCATATGCATCTGTGCCTGGCAGCTGTCCTCGTGGGTCACTGAGCCTGGTGGACATCTGCGAGGCAGGAGCAGCCCCAGCAGAGCCAGCATACGGGTTGCAGAGTCATTTGTGTACCAAAGCAGGACAGCCATGGCTGGGGAAGAACTTTGCCCTTGATAGCACCACACGTCAACCAACAACACTGACTGAACGTAGCTCAACTCAGAGGTGCTCATGGAGGAAGCCAGCTTAAATACTTTGGCAGGTGCTCAAACTGCAGAGATACATAAGAAACTGTCCTTGGCCTTGAGGCAGTTGTAGTCTAATATAAAAAAAGACACATATAGGTACTTTTAATACCAAAATACTGTTAGAGCACCTGTAAAACTTTCAACTCCTAAATCCTAAAAGAAATGAATTAACCTTTGTTGGGCGTGTATTACGTGCCTGTAACTGCTAGATATACTCACATGTTATCTGATATACTATAATAGATGGTTATTAATAAGTAATATGGTATTATATGTGTCTATGTTTATTTATTAGAAATGTTTACACCTGTGTGTATACAGTTACATAATAAAAGGTATCGATGGCTTTTTCTAGTTGATATGGTGAAGCACCCCAGGCTGCCAAATAGAGCTACATATGTACATAAAGAAGTTACACACACACAGACTGGAGAGGGGCTCAGGGTACAGAACTTGCCAAACAGGCAGTGAGGCCTTGGTTTCCATCCCCTGCATCCTCAGAAAGAAGCAAAAGAAACCACACATATATGCATGTTATGGTTACCTATATATTTACATATCTTCCATTAATGTCTTTATGTGTATACATATGTAACCGCTTATCAGACAAGGCTGTTTTTGTTAGAAGACTAATGAGCCTAAGCCTAGCACTGAAGACCTGACACTCCAAACTTGTCATCGCTGCTGGTCCAAAATCCTCTGACTGCCCTTTGACCTCAGGCTTTGCCTAGTTCTTGCCTTACTTCCCTTTTAACTCCAGATATATTAGGAAACAAACAGCATTATCATGTCTTTTTTTTTTTTTTTTTTTTTTTTTTTTGGGGCCGAGGATCAAACTCGACCTCGCACTTACCAGGCAGGTGCTTAAGCCACTGAGCTAAACCCCCAATCTTTTTTTTTTTTTTTTTTTTTAAACAGAGTAGGAAACTAAGAGTCAAATAGCATGCCTGATAGAACTTTGTGCAATAATGGAAGTGTTCTGGACCTGCCCTATGTGGTCACTGACAAGTAGCTACAATGGCTCTAAAGTACTTGAAATGTGGCTAAGGCATCTGTGAATTTTATTTTACTTCATTTTCATTTTAATGGCTCACGTGGACAGTGGCCACCCTGTTAGACAGCTCAGGCATAGAGAGCTCAAGTTCCAGAGGGTTCTGTGTGATCTGGCCCCCACTGGCCCTGGTATGGAGCTATGAGCACTGTGTTTTAGCTAATTAGGTGTTTATCTTTTTTCACTTGATTTTGAACTACTTAGAGGCAGGACAGTAATCTGTTTGCATTTGTGTTTTCCCACCTAACAGTGTACTGGCACATGTGGAGTAAACGTGCATTGGGCTGGGAATGTGGCTCAGTAATAGAACACATGCTTCACATGCCTGAGGCCCAGAATTCAACCCCCAGCACCAAAAAATAAACAAACGCGGCCAGGTATGGTGGTGCATGCCTGTAACCCTACACTAGGGAGGCCAAAGCAGGAGGATTACCATAAATTTGAAGTTAACCTGGGCTACATAGTTCAAGGCCAGCCTGAACTATATAATGAGACCCTGTCCCAAGTAAATAGATAGATGACCATTGAATGTGTGACATTAATTAAAATGTGTGACATATGCCAAGTTTGTTTGCATTATTTGTTGAAGAATTTTACCTCAGTGAAGTGGTAACAGCTTGTATTAATTTACTATGGGCTTATCATAGGTGAGGCAAACCTTTAAAAAGCAAAGCTGATTTGACCTCAGATGAGAAAGAAAACCAGGCATAAAATTAGTGTACACTTATACCAGTGTTTTTCTCTTGCCTCTGAGAAGGACTCTGATTCCTTCTGACTGAACACCGGGTGCCCTTCTCACAGCCCTTCCTGCTCGAGAGAGAGCATTCCTAGAAAGTCCCTCAGGGGGTGCGGCAGGTTCCTCGGGGATTGAGGAACTGGTTCAGATTTACTCCGGCAGAGGCCCCGCAGTCCAATCCCAAGTGGCTAACTCTCTTCTTTTCTCCACAGGGAAACAACTGGAAGGCATCTGGTAAGTAGTGGGGAGCCTGGTGGTGACCACTTAGGAAAGGAGGCAGCACTGCACGCAGTTCTAGGTCCCCACGTCCTAAAGCAGCGATTCTCCACTAGGGCTGATTTGCACCCCCACCCTCCTCCAAGGGACAATTGTTTGGCAGTGTCGAGAAACATTTTTGGCCAGGTGTGAACGCATATGCTTGTAATCCAAGTACTTGAGAGGCTGGGGCAGGAAAATCACCTTGAGTGTGAGGCCAGCCTGGGCTACATAGTGAGTTCAAGTTCATCCTGGACTACATAGCGAGACCCTGTCTCAGAAAAAAAAAAAAAAAGACATTTTTGTTTGTCATGCTGGGGGAAGATGCTAGTGAACACAGAGAAGCCAGGCAAGTGGCTCAGCATCCTCTAATGTGCAGGACACCCCACAACAGTGGTCCAGCAGCCGTGTGAGTGTGCAGAGTGCAGCAGTTGTGCTGTGTATGAGCTGTACGAGTTCATCCAGCTGCAGAGTGAACACACTGCAGGGGGGAGAGGGCTCGTGTCATGGCTGGGGACACAGCTCAGCACTAAAGCACTTGCCTGTGGCAGACGTGAGACCCTGGGTGCAACCCCCAATGCCACAAAAAAACAGAAATCAAGTGCACCTGCACTGCACGTGAACAGACTTTGAAAAACTTATTCCCTAAACAACAGAGCATAACATTTACATTGCAGTAGCTATTAGAATTCACTCATCTTGAAATGATTTGAAGATGTACATAGGTTCTGGGCAAAAGCTAAGTGCCATTTTATAAAACAGACTTGTGCATTACAGATTTTGGTAGCTGTGGGGGCGGGCCTCAGGAACGGACAAGAGGGGATAGCTGTAGCTTCTTCTTCGTGCATGTGTTGGGTGGTATAAGGCTGGTCACCACAGTGCCATCCTTGGGGAGAAAGTGTTCTCTTTGCTGTTGGCACTTGCTTTTTCTGGGTCACATCAGGAGTTTTCTGAGTCCCTGTGTCTCTCCATGCAGGCACACCTCCATAGTTGTACACAAGGATGAGTTCTTCTTTGGCAGTGGTGGAATCTCCAGTTGTCCCCCGGTGAGTGTCCTCCCCGACACCCTGCCCTGCTTCTGCTGTGCGCCCGTCCTGCAGCCCAGTACATGGAGGCCTAGGGCTTGGTTCCACATCACTACCTTAGACTCCTTCAAGGCCTCGGAGTATAGCTTGGGTTGGGTTAGAGTGCCTGCCTTGCGTGTGAAAGGCACTGGGCTCAATGTCTAGCACCACACAGCCCCCAAAAGTAGCTCCTTGACAAGGCCTTTCCCAGACATCCAGCCAGTTGCACTTCTCTCCTCTCCCAGGGCACCTATGGGTCCCTCTGTCTCACACTCAGCACAGCATACTGCCCCAAGTCTCTCTTGAATCTCCATGGAAACCCTGTGTGAGACCTGTCTTCCCTCTGTAGCCCATCTCTGGCACAGGGTGTAGCTTACAACACGAACCCTGCCCTTGTCGAGCTGACACAAGAGGAAACACAGCCAGTTCTAGAATTTGGGTCTCATGAAGTCCAAACATTTCAAAGGTTTTTAAGGGTTGTCCCAGAGAGACTCAAACAAGACTAAGCAGCTGTTCATTCTGCTGCTCATAAATGGAAAGTCAGCTGGGTTTGTTGGTACACACCTGTAATCTCAGGACTCAGGAGGATCACCATGAATTCAAGGCCAGTTTGAACTATATAGCAAGACCTTGTCTCAAAAAAAAAAAAAAAAAGGTGAGCACAGGTCATTCTTGAATTTCTCTCATGGCCACCTTCAGCCCCCCTCCCCCTCTTCCAGTCTCCCCAGAGTCTTCACCTTGGTCCAGGGCTCCTACATCTAACCTGGACTGCAGCAATAGCCTCCTTGTCTCCTCCATCTACTCTTCCTCTCCATCCTCCACACAGGAGGCAAAGTGGCCTTTTCCGCCAATCATGAAATTTCAGGCCTGCTCCAGAATCTTCCCCATTGCTCTTGGAGTAAAACTCAGAATGCAAGCTAGGCTTCCGAGGCTCCTAATCAGCTCTCTCCCTCTCTGGCCGCCTCTCCTCACTTCTTGAGCGACCTTGGATGTCTGACCCTGCACTTCAGCTCCAGTGTACCTCCAGATCCTCCACTCTTCAGGTCTGAGTCCAGCCAAGCCTTGGCTGTCCCCTCAGGCTGCAGGGGCCCCCTGTCATATGTCTTAGTGGCCTTCTACACCTTTCCAGCCCAGCCTTTGTAATGACACACTGATCAATGGGATTTTTTGGTCTTGATACCTGCTTGTCCTGTGAGTAACTGCAGTATATGTAAGTGATCTCTCAGACTCCCAGCATAGAGCTATTTAGTCCAGATGACCAGAATTGTCTGACCTGCTCACCATGCTGTCCCTACTGTTTAGAACATGTCAGCCACATAAGAGGTGCTCACTGCTAAAGACCTCATGCAGCTCTGCTCTGGAATGTTCTCCTTTCCTGCATCTGTCCTCCACGTTCCTGCCATTTCCCTTCTATTGGAGTCCCTACTGGGGCTCCATCTCTCCTTTATCTCCTGTGGCAGTCTCTTAGCCTGTGACCAAGGCATTCTGTGCCCTTCCAGAGGCCAGCACCCCAACCCACCCCCGCATTGTCACCATCAGCAGATCAGCCTCAGATCAAAAAATGACCTGAACTGTGAGAATATTTGCAACCCTGCCAGATTTCTCACACTCCTTCACATTTTCCCATTGTTACAAAGGACATCCAATGTCATGAGAAAAATAGGCTGCATTCTTTCTGAATGTAGGTGTGGAGAGCAGGGTACATTTCTAGTTGTCCTCTTCTGTCCTTGTAGTCAGGCATGTTTGGAACAAAAAGAGACTGCAGGTTCTGGGTTTCTGTCTCTCTGTCAGCTGAATGAATGGGCTACATAAGAGGTGGTGGACCTGCAAGAGAATCAGCTTCTTGGGGCCCACCAAAAACAGGAAGCCCAGCATCATGCTCTGCTGGCAGCATGTGGTGATGCGAAGCCTACCAGGAAGCTGTCATACCCATTATACAAACAGGAATCAGCCCTCTCCACCCAGGGTGCTCTGAAAGTTAAAAATAAGTTGTTAGAACAGTGCAGTTGTGCTCTTCTGTGGGAAGCCACAGTCGGAAAGGTCAGCAGATGGCTAGGGATGTAGCCCATTGGTAGGGCACTTGCCTGCATGGCTGAAGCTCTGGGTTCAATCTCCAATACCAAAAAACAAGGGGACAGTGGTGATTTCATGACTTTCTTTGGGTTGGCTCTTCTAGGGAGGGACATTGCTTGGGCCTCCAGACACTGTGGTTGATGTGGGGAGCACTGAAGTGACAGAAGAAATCTTTCTGGAATACCTGTCCTCCCTAGGGGAGTCTCTGTTCCGGTAAGTTGAGGCAGGGTGATGGGTAGCAGCATTTGCCTTCCCTGGAAGGCAGCCGCTATGCCTTGTCCCTGGAGTGCCCAGTGAAAAGCCTGGCCCGGTTTCTGCTGACTGCATGTGAAGAGAATCCAGTCACCATGCTACAAGGAGAACCCAAAGTTGTTCCAAGGCAGATATTCCAGTGCAGCATGATTTCTGCTGGAACTTTGAAAGGAAAGACAAATTCTTTATGCATTCCGATTACTGTAAGCGAGTGCTATTCTCTGCCTTTACTGGCCACATGCTTTGTCCTGAACATCAGAAGCTAGGCTTGTAGCAAGGTTGGGATGAAATACAAACCTGAAAATTTTTCTCTTAAGTTTTAGCCAAGGGCAAGGCTGAGGCTCAGTCAAGGAGTGGTTGCTTATTAGGCAGGTTCCATCCCAGCACCCAAAAAAAGGAAATTTTAATCTTTTTCAGTACAGTTTAACTCCAGAGCTCTTCTCTTGTGAAGGTGAAGATCGTAAAGTGTACAGTTCACATGCTTAGCTCATCCTTCCCCTAGAAATCGTGCTGAAAGGCCCAGCGTGTCGGTCCAGCAGTCCTTTTGGCATAGTGCAGGGGGCTATTGAAGCGCTCGCCGTGGTTCTGCTGTCCCCCTCTTCCTGGTTCACCTGCTGACTTCCTCACCTCTTCCCCCAAACCTTTCTCACCATGCACAGAGGGGAGGCCTATAACCTCTTCGAGCACAACTGTAACACCTTTAGCAACGAAGTAGCACAGTTCCTGACTGGGAGGAAGATCCCTTCTTACATCACGGACCTGCCCTCTGAAGTCCTCTCCACGTAAGTGCAGCCTTTGGCTCTGGCCCTGCTGGCCAGCTCTGAAAATCCCCAGTTACATGCAGTGCGCCTCCGCAGCGCACATCCACCCTCTCGGATGGCACTGGAACCCTTCAAACCGGGAGGACCAGTCCTGATGACATCTCCGCCACCATTCTTCCCACCTACTCCTGCACCCCTGCATCGCCTCCACCCTCATCGAATCAGGCCAACTCCACCCCAGCCTAAGTGCAAACCCAGAATTTAGAACACGAGCCAGGTTCGATGGCGAACATGTGTAATCCCAACGCTCAGAAAGCTGAGGCAGAAGGATCACTGTGAATTTGAGGCCAGTTCAGGCTAATTTCATAATGAGTTCAAGACTGGACTGAACAGGGGCTGGGGATTTAGCTCAGCGATATAAGCACCTGCCTGACAAGCTTGAGGTCATGAGTTCAATCCCCAGTACCAAAAAAAAAAAAAGACTAGACTGAACTATACACCAAGACCCTGTCTCAAAAAGAAAGCAAGAAAGAAAGAGAGAAAGAATTTAGAAACCCATTCAACCCTGGCTCTAGGATTTGGGCAGATCCCTGGCACCTGCCTGCGATATACAGAAAACACAGCTCTCAGCAGCACCCAGCTCAAATACAGTGTCTGGTTAGCCACAGAGGCAGTCAGAGGGATAGCAGAGCAGCTCCTTTGGAACTGCCTTTTGGGGTTTTCTTGTGGTGGGGGGATAGCACAGGGTCTTGCTCTGTAGCTCATGCTAGCCTGGAACTGACAGTGATCATCCTGCTCAGCCTCCTGATTTTTGTGATTACGGATGTGCACCAGCTCACTACTGGTTTCCTTCCACTGCACTCTGAGCCCTTTAAGTCCCTCCGAGGCCACATTCTTCTTGCCACCTTCTCCGTTTTTTGTTTTTTTTGTTGTTGTTGTTGTTTTGTGTTTTTTTTTGTTTTTTTGTTTTGTTTTTTTTTTTTTTGGTCTGGGTACCAGGGATTGAACTTAGACTCACACTTGCCAGGCAAGCACTTGTGCCACTGAGCTAAATCCTCAGCCATTCTGTTTGCCTTCTGACCGTACATGCACGGCCCTGTGTCAACTTTTCATCAAGGACACTTCATGGCCCCTCTGCCTGATTGGGTCCCAGCTGTAAAAGGGCCTGTGGGCCATCACCAGGCAGCAGCCTCCCCTGGAAGACAAATTCCCAAAACAACCCCACCGCTTTTCCTCTTTGCTATCTGGTAGTCTTTGCCCACCCTAGGACCAGATCCCTTTGGCTCTGACTCTGCTGCTCCGTGAGCTAGGTGTTGCCCAGTAGGAATCCACGGGTGAGCTGTTTTTCACACCTGGGTTCAAAGCTCTCAGGAAAAACAAGACTGAGGCGCTCCAGCCTCCCACCTGACCCCACCTTCCCGTCCCCTGGGTGTGTGCAGGCCCACAGCACGTTGCGGGATCTCGGTTTCTGGTCCCTGAGCAAACTGGAATAGCGGGAATGTCCTTGCTGTTCTCTCAGGGTGGAGTTCCTGGACTCATCTTACTTAGGACTGACACTTCTAGATTTCGTTTGCTTACACTTGGAGTGCTTCCTTCCCTTGAACTTCTTGGGGGTGATTTTCAAACACAGCCAGCCACGTCCACTGAAGAAAACACTAGTGCCAAATGTACAATGGGAAGCTGTGTTTAAGGGGGTGACAGTTGCACCCTTCTGACCTGGGGAGGGGGGATTTTTCCTATTTTCTGTGCTCCCTGGATGAGCTCAGGTGCCAGCAGAACCGAATTGTGTACCTGACTTTATCGTCTTCGTACTCTTTTCATTCTCCTTTAGCTCCTTCTCTTCAACTTTATCCTCTTCACAACAATTACAGGTACAAGTTCCTCGGTACAGAAAGCTCCAGGTTTCCGGGGCGGCCAGCCTGGTTAAACTGTAGCTCATTCACCAGGCCTTAGAGGTGGCAGTACCCACCGACTGGGGCTCCCCAAGAATAAAAACACAGCCCCGGCTGCGTGTGGTGGCACAGCCTGTAACCACAGCACTCAGGGGCTGAGGCAGGAGGACCACTGCATGTTCAAGGCAGCCCTGGGCTACCGAGTGAGACCCTGTCTACAGACAAACCAGCGTGGCTGTCTGAGAGAAGACCTCTGTGCTAGGCAACTCTGATCCTGCAACAAACACCTGAGGTCACTGCATAAGGAGGACAGTTATTCAGGCTCGTGGTCAGAAGTTTCAGACCACAGTCATGTAGCCTTTTCCCCCCGGGGCCCGTGGTGATGCAGCACCTTGGGCAGGAAGTGTAGGCTGGGGCCAGGAGCAGAGAGAGGAAATGGATGGCTAGGGTCCCACTGTCTCCTTCAAGGACGCCCCAGTGACAAGACGCCCTCCCACAGGCCTCACCTCTTAGAGTCTCCTCCAGGTCCCAGTAGCATTGCAGTGGGAGCAACACCTAAGCCTTTGGAGAATGGGGGACCAGACCGTGGATTTCTCCAGAACCCTAAGGAGTGAGATGGCAGGAAGGTTAGATGAGAGCTGCTGGAGAGATGGCACGCACCTGGAAACCAGCGTTCAAAGATTTTGGAGGGATTTGGAGGGAGTAGCTTAGTGGTAGAGTACCTGCCTAGACTAGTATGCCTGGGACCCAAGTTCCAACCCAGTGCTGCCAAAAAAAGAGTTTGAATCCTCAGTGCCCATACCTGTAGTCTCAAGCACTCAGGAGGCTGAGACAAAAGGATTGCCATGAGCTCAAGGCCGCCCTGAACTGCATAGTGAAACTCTTATCTCAAGAAACCAAAAAGCCAGGCATGGGAGTACATATCTGTAATCCCAGCTCTGGGGAGGCTGAGGCAGGAGGATCACTGCAAGTTCAAGGCCATATATAGCGCACCTGGAAACCAGCGTTTAAAAAGCTGAGGCAGGAGGCCACAAGCTCTGGCTCAGCCTGGGCAACCTAGTGACCTAATGAGAATCTTTCTCAAAGTTTTTTTTTTTTGTCTTTTTCCTTTTTATTGGTACCAGGGACCGAACTCACGACTGCCTGCTTACAAGGCAGGCGCTTATGCCGCTGAGCTAAAACCCCAGCCCAAAGTTTTAAACAACAGCTGGGAATGTAGCTCAGTGTGAAGGCCCTGGGTTCAATCCTCAGTACCAGAAGAAGTTACCCGAGATCCCAGGGCCATCCTTCCTGGAGAGGTGCTACCGCCCCCGCCACGCACCACACTGCACCCACCAGCCCATGTGATCTTATCTCTCTCCCTGCAGGCCCTTCGGACAGGCCCTCCGGCCCCTCTTGGACTCCATCCAGATCCAGCCTCCCGGAGGGAATACAGTGGGCAGACCCAATGGTCAGAGCTAACCAGACTGCTCAGGACCGCCCGCCCGCCTGCTCTGCAGGGCTTTTCCTTTTTAAACAAAACAAACCCTACCAAATTTCTATTTTATAATTTTACATCAGAGCTAACAACCAGGGAACGGCTTTTTAAATTTCCCAGGGAAGGAGATCATCAGGCTGCATGTAGGACAATGCTGCTAAACGGAACAAAACGCCCACTTATAATAGTATTATACTAATTTATTAAGGCTGTCTTGTCTGTGAGTTCACTTTGACGCTGTTTCCTAAGCGTCCTCCACACTGGAGAAAGGGAGGGGGTTTGTTTCAGCAATAGGCAAAGAGGGACAGTTTGGGGGAGCCCCAACCTAGAGCCTCTTCCCAAAGAATACCTACGACCCATCCAGGTTACCACATCTGCAGAACCAAGGAGTTTTCCAACACCCAGACCTGGAAGCAGTTTCTCTTAGCATTAAATGAACCAAAGGATGTGGCACATGTGGGGCCAATTGCAGGATAACTAACCCGACCTCAGTGAGCTCTTTCACCAGACCTCTGTCACCTTCCCTCCCCTGCTGCAAGCGTGGGGCCAGGGCTGCCGCAATCACAGCATCGGAATCAGAGGAAAGTGACAGTTCCGGGCCAGAGAAACAGGATAAAGCCATTCCTCCTCCCACCCAGACTGACTGCCACTCCACCACCACCACAACCAGCAGGGAACCTGCCCTCCTGCCATTCCTGAGCTTGCAGGACCTGTTGCTGTGGACAGGGTGAGGGAGCTGGCCCACAGCCGCAGAGACCCAGGGCCTCTGCAAATAAACCACACCTGCCCCATAGCTGCATTCGGTTAGGGACCAAGGGGACGCAAGTCCCAGGTTAGGGGATGTAGAAAGTATATGATCAAGGTGGCAAGAAAACTTCTTTGTTTCTGATAGGCCTTTTCCGTGACCCTGAATGTGCTTTGCTGGCACATGTCATTTCCACTGTCATTCTGGCTTTAAGGAGGTGCTGTGAGGTGCGACTGGGCATTTCCCCAACGATGCGCTGCTCAGTCTGTGGACAGCAGTCGCGAGTTTCGGATCTGGGCCACCTTGCAGACTTTCACGTGAGCTCCCACAGGTTAGCAGGAGCAGTGGGAGGAGCAGCCAGCTGCCTGGTTGGGTTCTGCTGCCTGGGGCCTCCCACTGCGGCTCCCTGCTCTCAAAACTTGAATCCTCGAGCTCCTTGGGGGGGGGGGGGCTTTCCTCCCCCAAAATCTGCTCACCCAGGCCCTGGCCCTGCTGTCCTTGCCATTAGCCATAGCAGTTGACATCATCAGGGTCCCTGCTAGAAGGAAAGATGTCATTCTGCCTTGGCATCTGCCTGTGACCTGACCAGGGGCATGGCCAGCTGGCATCAAGTGACATTTTAGAATTTTAAGACGAGGCCAAATGAGCGTAGCAGTGGTAAATCAGAGCAGAAAGTAGCAGGGATGGCTTCATGCTCAACTATTGGCAGCTTCAAGGGGAATGGGTGTCAGAGGCTGGGTTTCCTTCTGGAAGGTAGCTGGTTGGCCTAGGCCACTGTCCAGCACCATACCAGTGTCCCCTTCTCCCATCTGCCCAAAACACTCATCTCTATCTGGAGGGTGCTATGCTTTTCTCCTGATCCCACTCAGCTGGTTTTGCTCCTTCCAGTGGTCACTTTCAGACCCAGGGCTATTCTAAGTCCTGAGTGATTCCTTGAATGCTGCCCTTCATGCCCAGCTGCCATTTGTGCCAATGCCTGTACCCTGGATTAGTTGTGAACGGAGGGATTGGAAAGCAGTGACCCAGAACTGTGGGGAGATGAGCTGTCCTTCCTCGTGCAAGCCCTGCCACCCCTCAGGGCGGAAGCCAGGCCTGAGCTACCCTCCAGCCCACATTTCCGTCCATCCAGAGCCTCAGGAGCACACTCTTGATCAGTCGGCTCCATGTGGGCACATTGTGACATGCAGCGAGAGCCTCTTAGAGGTGCACTGATGTAAAGGGACAGGGGAAGCGGGGAGAGACGAAACGGTCGCCCTCTCCCAAAATAAAGCTCGTACCTGTGAGACTGCATTATGCCCTTGAACTCAGGCTGGTAACTGTCTCATACAGAGGTGTTTGCTAGTTTTCACTGGTGTTTTTCTAATGCAATAAACTCGTTTCTGCCTGCTGCATTTCCTTGGTGCTCAGATCCCCTCTGTGCAGGTATCAGGCAAGCCCAGGCTCCCCGTCCATCTCCCTCAGGCTCTAACTTGCTGAGGCCATGCAGCCTTTGCTGGATTGTAACCCTATAGGTAAGCAGTGACAATGCAGAAGGATATGTAGCTGTCGCAGTGGTCAATAGAGGTAGAGATAGGGCTCTGAGTACTACGTGCTCCAGGTCACTGCCTTTTGAATGATAGAATGGCTTCACATCTAAGGTCTTTCCTGGATGGCTCATCAGGGGCTGTCAGGCCTCACCAAGAATTGTTCTAGTTTGGGGGGCAGGAGGATTGGGACACAGGCCCTCCATACTGAGCTACATCCCCAGCTTAATTTTTAGAGACGGGCTGGGCCCAAACTCGCAGTCCTGCTCACCTCACCCTGCACCTAGAGTGCAGGGATTATAAGATGTACCACCATGCCCAGCTGCTTCCAATTTCATTTTCACTACAAGTTGGGTCCAAGGCCCAGGGGTTTCCCCACCTACTGCAGGGGCGACCTTGGACAGTGTCAGGGTTGCTAGCCATGTCTGCAGCATTGCAGCCAACTGCAGTTGGCACCTCCTATGGGCCCCACTGGCCGGGGTGCTTCCACACACCTGCGGTGGGCAGGTTGGCACCAATTGAGCAGGGAAGAAACAAGGGCAGAGAAGCAAGACTGCCCAGCTAGCAGGTGGCCGAGCCAACACTCAAATGCGAGCCACTTTCTCACTGCTGCTCTGTGCACCTTGTGAGGCCCTGCCTTCCCCAGGGTGCCAGCTTAGGAATAAAACAGGAGGCGCTGGCTTGGCTGGGCATCTGCTCCTGAGAGCTGACCTGTTCAGGCCAGGAGTCCCCGAGGCTCTGCTCAGATGGCACACCCTCCATGGAAGGCCCACCCGCGGGCCCATCTGTTTCCGTTTTCCTCTGCTGTGAATTTGAAAACATTACCCACCTTGCAGGCTAGAGGTGAAGAGAAATGTACAGCTCAGTTAAATGCTTGGTGAACGCCAGGTTAAGGGGCCTTCAGCAGTCTTTACAGGGACTCCCAAGAGTCACAGCATGGAGAGAGGACCAGGCCAACCTCTCCTCTGGGGACAGTGCCTATTCACCTCCTTGCTTCTGGGAAATGGCAGAATGTGTGAGTTCCCCTCAACTTTATGATGGGGGAATCCATTCTAGGGGAGCATATTCAACCCCAGCCACTTCCCAAGGAGCCGTTAACAGTAGGCTCTCAGTGGCAGTGTGTGTGAGTAGGATGTGTTAGGGGTTGGGGGCTTCTCTGAGGAGGGAGAGGTGTTTAGCCTGAGGCCTAGATGGTGAGGTCAGTGGGGGAAGGGGCACATGCCAGGCAGGGAGCCTCCAGTGAACGGGCCTGGGGAGCCTATGGTCAGGGGAGGCAGCAAGCGCTGTGAAGGCCTCTGCCATGCTGCTGCCTTGCAGAGAGGGGGCGGGAGTGGGCACCCTGGAGCAGCCTGGATGAGAGTCTGGATCTGGGGGTAGGGGCTCAGGACAACACAACCCTGTGAACCAGGGCAAGGCCACCTGGGAGACTGGAAGACCTGTCAGCCACTTAACCTGCCTCTGTGAGCTTCCAGAGGCTACCCCAGCTCTGATCTAGAGTGTGCCTAGGTGTCTCATTTTTCCAAAATATTTTTTAGCTGGAAGTGATGGCATCCACCAGCACTCAGGAGGCTGAGGCAGGAGGATTGGCATGAGTTCCAGGACAGCTTGGGCTACACAGTGAGTTCAAGACCAGGCTGGACTACATAGTGAGATCCTGTCTTTAAAACCAAACCAAGGGGCAGGAGCATAAGTGCCTACCTGGCAAGCACAAGGTCATGAGTTTGATCCCCGGTACCAAAAAACAATAAAAAAAACAGCCAGGTGTGGTGGCACATGCCTGTAGTCCCACCACTCCAGAGGCTAAAGCAGGCCGATCAATCACCATGAGTTTGAGGCCAGCCTGGGCTACATAGTGAGTTAAAGAACAGACTAAATTACAGAATGAGATCGTGTCTCAAAAAGAATAAAAATTTCACATGAAATTCCAGCAGCCTAACAAACCACATAACCTCGTCCTTCAAGACGTCCGCTCTCAGGCACCTCACTTTGTGTTCCTAACATGCAGTGAACACACAATTGCACAGCCCCCGGGCTGCAGAGAGGGGGTGGCAGCAGTGACCCAGGAGGGTGCGCTCTGGCAAGGGCCTCGGCCTGGGCAACACCAAAACCATCCTCAACCCCAGAGCCCAGAGGCTTTGGAAGAAGGAGGAGAGCGAGTCCTCTGCTGCACTGCGCCCCCAAAGGTCCAGGGAAGGAGGAGAGTGGTTCCACGCCCTGCCAGAGAGAGTGCGTAACCGAGATGCCGTGAGAGAGGTGGACGCCAGGGCCACTATGCACCTGCAGCCCTGCAGCCACCGCCCAAACCCTTGGTCCTCACCTCATTGCGGTCCCTCTCACCCTTGTCCTGCATACACTGGTCCAACCCCACGCTCTCATGCAAAGTCACTGTCACTCTGGTGGTTTCACGACTTTCGTGCTACAGTCACCCCCTCCACCTGGATCTCCATCCCTGGCAGGAATGGTAGGGACAGTAGTTGGCGAAGGGTCAATTTAAAAAAACTGAACCTGGGGCTGGGGATTTAGCTCTGGGGCTGGGGATTTAGCTTAGCGGCATAAGCGCCTGCCTTTCAAGCAGGCAGTTGTGAGTTCGATCCCTGGTACCGATAAAAAATGAAAAAGACAAAAAAAACCAAAACAAAACAAAACAAAATCTACCTAGGCATGGTGGTGACACCTGTAGTTTCAGCTGTTCAGGTGGCTGAGGCAGGAGTATCTCAGCCAGTTGTAGGCCAGCCTGAGCTATATAGTGAATTCAAAGCGAGACCCTATCTCAAAAACACCAAACAATAACAATAAAAACTAAAAATGTCCGGAAGTATATAGTGCAGTGGTGAAGTGCCCTGGGGTGGTACATTCCCTGCACCACAGACAAACAATCCTGACTCCGGACCTTGATTGAAGCCTTCCCCGCTTGGGCCTCAGTTTCTTCCTCTGTAGTATGGAAACCACAGATCAGATCTGAGTCAGCAGTAAAACTTACCTTGATGTGCCAAGTTCTCCAGTCCCTGGGGCTGGGCTCTAACCCATAGAGGAGACTCTGCTATCCCCACGGCTGAGGGAGCCTAGCAACAGCCTGTTGCCTGTGACAAACACCACATCCACGCCTGCCCTTGCCTAAGTCCCATGGCCTTGTTTATTATGAAACAATATAAACTCTGCAGGCATTTTGAAAGGAAAAAAACTGATAACCCCCTGCCCTGCTTCCCTTAGCCTCCGCACAGCCCAGGCGGAGCTGGGCAGGGGCAGCCCCATCAATAGATAGAGTGGGAGGGACCTGCCCAGTGTCCCCGGGGGAGGAGCAACCCCACACACACACTCAGCTTCACTAACCCCACCGCACAAAGGCTGCCCCTCAAAATAAGGGCCAGCCGCTCCCAAATCCAGGGAGAGCAAAGGCGAGCAGCCCCCGGATTCTTGAGGTGAGAATACATTGACATTCTGCCTTCTTCCACAGTTAGGAGCCAGGAGAAAGCCAAGGACTTGGCAGGGACAAAATGGACTGTGCTGGTGACCCTAGAAAGTTGCTATCCCTCCCTGCTATTGATATATTCCTCTAGAAATGGGGTACAGGGTAGTCATCCCAGAGAGTCGTTGGGGAGAGCAAGAAAAATGCCAGGACAGGAGCCATACATTGTGTGCAAGCCGCTGCGACATCACTAACCTTTCTCAGCCTCAGGTCAGCAGGAAAGGCCCAGGCTGTCCTCTCCGCCTTCAGTCTTGTCCTGGTCTCTGGTTACTGTCAAAGTCACCTTTCTGGTCAGTCCCCACCCCCGCCCAGTCTTGCTTCTTCCTTTCCCAAGGGCCACCTACCCAGGGCCCCAGCTGAGCACCAGTTGCCAGGGACGGCCTTCCTTTTAAAGGGACATACTAGAGGCCACAGGGGCTCCCTGCCACTGGCCTGCGGGTCTGACCTTTGGACCTTTGCTCTCCAGCTTGTCTCCAGCAGCTGCCACAGTGAAAAGGGGTGCAGCTCAGAACCAGGCATGCAGAAGGCCCTGGTTTCACTCTGAGCATCACAAAAGCAACATTTGCTGTCTGCACCCAAAAGAAAACACAAAAGCACCCCAGGAATGCCTGTAATCCCAGCACTTGTGAGGCTAAAGCAGAAGGACTGCATGTGTTCAAGGCCACCTAGGCTATGTAGTGATTACAAGGCCATTCTGAACTATATAGCAAGATGCTGTTGCAATAAACAAAACAAAACAGTATTTTAAAAGCGTGGGGATGGGGGTTTAGCTCAGCAAAATAAATACCTGCTTTGCAAGAGCATGGTCATGAGTTCGATCACTGGTACCAAAAAAAAAAAAAAAAAAAAGAAGTGCGGGGCTGGGGATTTAGCTAAGCAGCATAAGCGCCTGCCTTGCAAGCAGGCAGTCATGAGTTTGATCCCTGGTACCGATAAAAACGAAAAAGACAAAAAAAAAAAAAAAAGTGCAAAATCATGTTTCTTAGCAGGGCATAGTGGTGCACATCTGTAATCTCAGGACTTGAAGGCTGAGGCAGGAAGATCATAATTTCAAGCTACCTGAGGCAAAACTATCAATTTAGCAAGACTGTCACAAAATAAAAATACGGTAAATCTCTAACTTACAAGCATTTGAGTTCAGAACTTTCACAGGTGTGCCATATAAGACTCACTTTTGAAAGGTTCTTGCCCTAATATAAACTATACAATTACGGTGGTGGTCTAACGTGGCAGAAGGCCAAAGCAGGACCGCCTACCACTTCCTGCTGCTTATTCAGCTCTAATTGCAACTCCCCTTCCTGTTTGTATGCACCCAAAATTCCAATCGTTCCTCACACCTCCCACGTCACCAATATCCTCCCATATGCCACTTCAATCAGAGGCCACAAAACCCTGTGCCCCTCTGTATCTGCCATGGGTTGTGTGCTCCTTTCCACGACCTCCATAAACCTGCTCTTTTCTTGCTTCTCTATTGCACCAGAAAACTCTAACAACTTTGTCAGATTTAGGAAAGAACCCAATTTATGAATGTTCTCATGGAGGGAAACCCCTTTGTAGATTGGGGACTAACTGCAGCCCAATGGGAGGGCCCTGGGATTTATCCTCCAATGCTGGGGGTGTGGCTTTTCCTTGTAAAATGGGAATAACAGATTAATATCAAGTTACCTTTTTGACTAGGGTATAAAGCAGAGCGCTTTCCTGCCCATTGAAACTGGCCTATTTAGGAAATTTGGCTGTTATTCCCAATCCTGACGGGGTGGTGGTGGTGGTGGTTTCTGTCTTTTTTTTTTTTTGTCTTTTTCGTTTTTATCGGTACCAGGGATCAAACCCACGACTGCCTGCTTGCAAGGCAGGCGCTTATGCCGCTGAGCTAAATCCCCAACCCCCTTGTCTTTTTTTAAAAATCACAATTGCTTTGGGGCTGGGGATTTAGCTCAGCGGCATAAGCGCCTGCCTTGCAAGCAGGCAGTCATGAGTTCAATCCCTGGTACTGATAAAAATGAAAAAGACCAAAAAAAAAAAAAAAGAAAGAAAGAAAGAAAATATTATTCTAGGTAGCCATTTGGTTTTTTTCAGGAGAAAGCCAGTTTTGGAGCTGTGTCTGCCACGCTGGGGTCATGGGCTGTGCCAGAGAACCAGATCTGCAGTGCACTCCTCAGTGACTGTGCCCCTGTCCTGGCAGCATCTCCCTCCCACAGAAGCAGACGATGACAATTCCAGGACCGCAATTGCATGTGGTTTTCCTTTTTTTTTCTTTCCGGATTAACTGCGTTATTGAATTATTTCCTCTTCTGACCTCTCTGCTGACCTCGACTTTAATGATTTATAAATCTATTCAGGATGTTTCAGAGAGCTCCACAGGCGGAAGTTCTGGAGAGGGAAATCTCTAGGGAGGAAGGTGCAAGTGTCAGAATGTCCCCAGCTTTCCCGGTATTCGATGCAAACTTCTGCTGGTTGAAGAGGTTGCAGCCTTCTCTTGGATGCAGTGGTGAGCTCCACAGCTCTGATTTTTCTACAAAACCAGCACTCACATCCAGCTCTTTTTCTACTGAACCTTTTAGAAGTCTGGCCTTTTCACCCTTTATTTTCTTTCCTTAATCTTTCATTCTCAGCTGCAAGAAACTGCACATCTCGCCAAACCCGCCATTTGGGTTGCCTGCTCCTCCATAATTGTTTTGTCATCTTTTGGGGCCTTGTTTCCAACACACAGCTCCATTGGCTCAGTCTTTTTGTTGAAGTATATATAGCAGTGTGTCTGTGGCCCTGGCCCAACCCCTTGAATTTCAGGGAGGTGTTTCTCCGTGGAAGGGCTGTGCTCCTGAGCAAGAATGGGGTTCAGGCCCTGTGTCCTCCACGGAGGGTTTGGGAGTTGCCCGGAGATGGGCAGTTGCGTCCCTGTCTGCATTCTGCAAGGCCTTTGGTCGCTCCTCACAAGTCACCATCTCCTACCTCTCCTGGAGGAGGAGGAGCTGTTCCATGTCCCCTGTCACACAGCCCACCCCACCCTGCAATTCCAGGGACAGGCAAGCCTGCTCTGCTCCGTCCACTTAATGGCTTCACAGAGATATGCTGCTGCTCCTTCTGTGACAAGAGACAGCCTCTTCCTATTTCCATGCCACTAATAAACGGTCTGTTCTGTTGATGACAGCTTGCACGCAGCCCATCTTTCTAACGGGGACCTGGCCAACATCCCCCAACTGCCTGTATGAAGTGTATGGCAAAAGGATGAAACAAGGGGCTGGAGGTTTAGCTCAGCGGCATAAGCGCCTGCCTTGCAAGCAGGCAGTCGTGAGTTCGATCCCTGGTACCGATAAAAAGGAAAAAGACCCCCCAAAAAAATGAAATAAGAAACGGACAAATTTAGTAATGCATGATGAGAGAGCTGGGAGGAAAGTGCCTCAGGACCGGCAGAGACCAAGACTGTCCAGACCAGCCACTATTTATTGGTTGTGTACAATGTAGGAGGGCCATCTGAGATTCAGAGGTCAGTGACCCAGTTGGCTGCTGATTGAATAATCCAGGGATGGTTCAAGATGATTTTATGCTAAGAAGGATCTTGCCCTGGAGTGTTCTTTTTTAGTAGTTTTAGTTTAGTCTTAGTGGGCAGGAGAGGGTGGCCCATCCCAAAAGAGTGAATGGGAAGTCTCAAAAGCTTGATATGATAATCCTAAACCTGCATTTATTCTTTAGGGAAGTATGAAAAATTAGCCATTGTGAATTCGTGGTCTCCAACACCTTTCCTCTCCCGAGAGTCCATCCTGAGCTTCTGGAAATCTGCTCTGACCTCCCTCCCGAGCGGAGGAGGTGTAGTCTTTTTTTTTTTTTTTCCAACTGAGCTATTTCGGCAGGAGGTGTAGTCTTGGCATCTGTAATGTGACTGTTTCCTGCTGTTGGCTTCTCTTATTTCCTTGAAGCCTGGGTTTTTCTCAGATCCACTCTGCTTAGTTACACCTGCTCTTCTCTTATTCCCATCTTTATTTATGTACTGGAAACCAGTACTCTGCCGGAAAATTCATCTCCTAGCGATCGTAAACCCAGTGTCACTAAAGAATTTAAGCCTAAAATAAAAGAATAAAAAAAAAGAAAGAAAAAAGAATTACGCCTAAACTAAGAGAAGTTGGTTTATTTGAAGGTAGAGAAAAAGGGAAAAGAGAAATGACAGAAAGCTTTTCAGCAAGTAGGGAGCACTCAAAAGGGAAATCCTTTGGGGAGGGGAACAGGGTCTCGTTATGCAGTTCAGGCTGGCTTGGACTCACTATTGTAGTCCAGGCTGGTCTCGAACTTGCAGGGGATCCTCCTGCCTCAGCCTCCGGAGTGCTGTGATTACAGGTACGCGTCATCATGCTTCTCTAAAGATTGTCAGATTTCTTGAAGCTCGAGGTTTGTAGGCAAAGGGATTATCCTACAAATCACTGAAAGCCGTAACGCCCGAGATTTCGGGGCCCCACCCCTGTCCTACACTTCCTCATCACGATGAAATCACTAATCACCAGCCAAGGATTAATTCTGACCCGCACCTGTTTCGCGCTGCACTCTCCACTTCCCGACCAGCCCAGGTTTAGGCCTGGTTTTATCTGATTTGAGATCTCGGGCCCAATCAGGAGGGCTCTGCCCCGCCCAGTACCACGCCCTCTTCCAAGTATAACCAATCACCCTTCGGATAGGCGCGATGCCCGCCCCCTCCGTGCGTCCCTCTCCCGTCTCTAGGCCCCGGCCACCGCCTCCTGCCTTTGCCCCACTTGACCTCGGTGGCAGCCGCTTGACTCCGCCCTGTGCGCCGAGCTGCAGCCATGGCTGTCACCGCCGAGGGCGCCCGCAGGAAGGAGCGCATCCTCTGCCTGTTTGACGTGGACGGGACGCTCACGCCGGCTCGCCAGGTAGGGCCCCAACGACCGGAAGGAAGCTCTGGGCACGAGTATTACTCAGACGTCCGAGGGCTCGTGTGGGATCTGCAGCAGTGGAACCGCGGACACCTAGGGTCCGCCACCCGGGGTGGCGGGGACCCTCCACCCCCCATCCACAGCCTCCAAGCAGACGTTGCCGCGCTGTGGGTCCAGGCTCTGGGACGCCTCACCTCCCCTGTCAGGTTTCCTGCCCCGTTTCAGCCCTAGGGTGCACCAGGAGTCCGGAACTGGTGCCTTAACCCGGAGTCCAGGCCGTGCTGGCGTGCGCTCCAGCCTCAGAGTCACCCTCTGCTGGGGGCACGGGGGTCCCGGAGCTGTCAGGGACTTCAGGAAGGGATGGTCTGCCCTGCCTTCCCGCATGCTAGATCATGAGGAAGATGTAGACCCGCAGTGAAGGTGGTGGGCTCCACACCACCACAGCCTGAACGGGAACCGCCTCTCAATTTGTCCACCAACAGGTCCTGCGCTTAACGCTTTTCAAAAGTTAATTTTTAATTATCCTCAGGTTCACAAGCACATTTTGGTAGGGGGCGTGCTTTTTGACACAGGGTCTTGCTATGCAGTTCAGGCTGGTTTTGAGCTCACTTTGTAGCCTAGGCTGGTCTCGAACTCACAACAATCTTCCTGCCTCAACCTCCCAAGTACTGGGATTGCCAGTGTGCACACCAGGCCTGGCTTGTGAGGATGTCTTTAATTAAGTGGCTGGGGATTTAGCTCAGCAGCATAAGCACCTGCCTTGCAAGTGGCATTAGATGTATGTGCCTTCCTGAACTTGCTTTTGACAGTGAACTGCCTGTCTTGGGGGTCCCTGCTGTGTTGTAAGTACAGAGCTGCTGCACCTCTGTACCTGCAGCATAGTATTTCCCAGTAGGCGAGGGTCATTCCCTGATGGACAAGCAGGGACTCTTGAGCAAGAAAAGTAGAAACTCAGGGTGACAGGGTTCGTACGTATTGAGTTTTAGTGAGTCTTAGCAAATAACCTTCCAAAAGAGCTGTACCAGTTCCCAGTCTCACGGACATCATGTGCCTGCTTTCCTACCTTATCACCCTCCCTCAATAGTGTCGTCTTTGTACATCCAAATGTATGAAAACAGGATTATACCTTACTAGTTTACTCTTCCTTGTAGGGAATCCTTTCTCTTGATTAATCATCAGTTAATTGCTTTTCATTCAAACACTTTGGATCACTGTTTAATCTCAATAGTGACCCTGGGATAGTTACCTTCACATGGTTATTACTATGTTGCCCATTTTTCTAACTTATTTCTGTGGTACTGGCGATTGAACCCAGATCCTTTGCACTGAGCTATATCCCCAGCCTTTTTATGGATTTATATGTTTAAGTTTTGAAACAATCTCATGAAGTTGCTAAGTTGCCTAGACTGGGTTCAGGCTTGTGATCCTCCTGCCTCAGCCTCCCAGAATGCTGGGATTACAGATGTACACCATTGCACTCTGTTCACACAGATTTTATGTATACCTTGTATGCATCGCCTGAAGGCAATATTGTACTTTTTTTTTTTTTAGCTTGAGGATCAAACCTAGGACCCCCACATGCTAGGCAAGTGCTATGTGCTTGAGCTTTGGCCTTAGCCCAATGTTTTGAGGGGTAGGGGGTTAAGACAGGGTCTCCCTATGTAGTTCAGTCTAGCCTTGAATTCACTATGGACCCCAGGCTGGCCTTGAACTTGCAGCAATCCTCCTGTCTCAGCCTCCTGAGTGCTGGGATTATAGGCCTGTGCCACCACCCTGGCTTCAGCCCAGTTTTATAAGGTGTTTTCAGTTACCTGTGTTTTGATAATGACCCATCACACAAGGTCAAGTGTGGAAGTTTTCTTTTGTGACACTGCATCAGTGCTGAAAGAGTTTCAGGTTTGGAGCATTTCCAACTTGGGGACTAGGAATGCTGAGTCTCTCCTCCTCAGATCCCTGTTCTGAGCGCTAAGTGGGGGTCCCAGACCTGCTAACAGCCTGACTTTTCTCCTCTGCCCCCTGCAGAAGATTGACCCCGAGGTGTCTGCCTTCCTGCAGAAGCTGCGAAGCAAGGTGCAGATTGGCGTAGTGGGCGGCTCTGACTACTCCAAGATCGCTGAGCAGCTGGGGGATGGGGACGAAGGTAGGAGCTGGTGGAGTCCGTTCCCCTTGGGATGCTGGCAGATTTTGAAGAACCCATCCTACTTCTCTGAGACAGAAGAGGTAGATAAAGAGCCGGGCGTGGGCTGGGGATTTAGCTCAGCGGCATGCTTGAAAGCAGGCAGTCGTGAATTCGATCCCCGGTACTGATGAAAAGGAAAAAGACAAAAAAAAAAAAAAAAAAAAAGAGCTGGGCGTGGTGACACACACCTGTAATCCCAGTACTCTGGAGGCTGAGGCAGGAGGATCATTGTGAGTTTCAGCCCAGCATGGGCTACATAGGGAGTTCAAGGCCAGCCTGCACTACATAGCAAGACCTTGTCTCAAAAATAAAAACAGAGGATTGGGGGTTTAACTCAGCAGTACAGGGCCTTCCTGGCAAGCACAGGTTGCGAAAATACTGAAAATAAATAAACAAAAATAATGTGCTCAGCCAGGCGCAGTGACACACACCTATAATCCCAGCACTTGGGAGTCTGAGGCAGGAGGATGGCTGCGAGTTTAAGGCCAGCCTGGGCTACATAAGTGAATTTAAATCCTGACTGAACTATGTGAGACCTGCCTCAAGTGGCATAAGTGCTTGCCTGACAAATTCGAGGTTGTGAGTTCAATCTCTGGCACCAATAAGGAAGTTAACTAATTAATTAAAGTAAAAGAGAAGGGTCTCAAATTTAGCTCAGAAGCATAAACAGATGCCTGGCAAGCATGAGGTCATGAGTTCGATCCCCGGTGCCAAGATTAATTAATTAATTAGAGAGCATGTGAGGAGATAGAGAAAGGGGGGGTGTGTGTGACCGCCTTCTACTGCCAGGCAGGTGCTGGGCCAGCAATGGAGAAGCAGCTGGGAACAAACTGAGCAGACGCCTGCCCTCGGGCCATTTCCATTCTCCTTCCTTTTGCTGAGTCTTGACTTCCTCATCGCTTATGGGGACATAATCAGTAATGGTTAAGATTTGCACAAAATGACCAGGGGTAGCTGGATTTCCTGTAATCCTGCCATCGTGCTGTAGGTTATATGTGGTTACACCATTTATGTTAGTGAGGACGGAAGTCACCTGGGAAGTCGGTCCACCCCAGAGCTCGCAGGTCCAGCTTTTGGGCAGCAGAGGCCTCCGGTTCCTCAAACCGTAAACTAATAGGATTTTCCCTCTTCCCACGCCCTTTTCCATTCCATCTGGAAGTCATAGATTCCTCCCTACCCTGCCCATTTCCGCCACTTCTCCCTCATGGGAGAGATTCCCCTGCCACCCAGACCCGGTGGCAGAGTCCCGGCTCCACCCACTCCAGCTCCTTCTCTTGGCAGCCAGAGCAGAAGCTCCCCCTGCAGCCATCCTGCGACTGGGTGTGGGAAGCTGCGGAGCAAGTCCTTGTCGCTCGGGAAGGGAGCTCAGGAGGAACGACGCCCTCTGCTGTCGAGTTGGCCCAGGGTCCAGAGGAGTGGCAGGATTTTGTAGGACGGGTTGAGGGGGGGAAATCCAGAGCGATGCTTAGGCAGAAAGGCCTGTCTGGGTGAAGGTGCAGAGCAACGACTGGCTTGCACGGGAAAAAAGGAAGCTGCAGCAGCAGCAGAGGCTGGAGCGTCAGACTCAGGATGAAACAAATGGGCCCTGAATGCCAAGCCAAGGAGCATGGGCCCCATCCCCCGTGGCTTGCTTCTGGGGTAACAGAGGGTCTCAGGCCTGGTCTCAGGCTCTTTCTTTCTCCCTGGCTTCTCTGCGCCCAAAGTCATCGAGAAGTTTGATTATGTGTTTGCGGAGAACGGGACAGTGCAGTATAAGCATGGACGACTGCTCTCCAAGCAGGTCAGTGTCCCCACTGCCTGGGTGGCTTCTATCCTGGGCTGGGACAGTAACACCACATCACACTGAGACCACTATGTCCCTTGCTCAGACCATCCAGAGCCACCTGGGGGAGGAGCTGCTGCAGGACCTGATCAACTTCTGCCTCAGCTACATGGCCGTGCTCAGGCTGCCCAAGAAGCGGTGAGCTCTCGCACCCATGGCCACAGAAGTGTGGGTCTCTCACCTGGAACCTATAGATGATTGAGCGTCTGAGTTCTTTTTGGAGGGGTATTGAACCCCAAGCTTGGTGCACGCTAAGCAAGCAGGCCTGCACTATACTCTAGCCCCAGCCTCAGGCCCCTGACTCCTGAAGCCCCAGGAAGCTGTAGTCCCCAGATGGGGCTGGATTTGAATTCAGGGCCTCTCATTCTCCCTGGCTCCCCACCCCCATCATCTCCAGGGGTACCTTCATCGAGTTCCGGAACGGCATGCTGAACATCTCACCCATCGGCCGCAGCTGCACTCTGGAGGAGCGGATTGAGTTCTCCGAACTGGACAAGGTGCCACCATCCGTGTGACCTGGGCCCATTGGGTTTCAGTCCCTCGACCTCTCTGAGTACCTGTCTTCTCATTAGCAAAATGGATGGGGTGGGAGGGAATTTTGAATGAACCAGTACTCTTGGGGACCTGTCGTGTATGTCTGCCCCTTTCCAGTGACCCACACCACTGGCCACCTAGTTACCCGAGTCAGTGCCTAGGGCACATCATTGCCACCTTCCCAAACCCATCCAGTCCAGAAACTCCTGTTCCTCCAGCCTCCAGAGTCCGTCTCACCTGAACTGTTGCCGAGTTGAGAACCTGCTCTTCCAGCTCCAGAAGTCCCCTTCCCCTGTACCCCTCACCAGCAGCAAAGATGCCATCCCTCCAGGTCCCCCTACTGCCTGCTCTCTCCAAGGCCAGAGGGGTCCTCAGGCTCACGAGAGTGCCCCCACTGCCGCTTATGCTAAGTCTTGCCTGGCTCCTCCCCTCATTTCCACCCCAGAGCTGTGGCTTGCTGTGCAGACACTAGGACCTGGGGATTGGGCTGCCCTGTTCCTCAGCTGTCCTCTCAGGCCTCCTTCAGGACCCCTAGTCCATGTCCCACGGGCAGGGTCTGACTCTGCTGTTGTGGCTGGACAACCTTGGACAAGGCACAGCTCCTGTTGATGAAGTGGGGTCGCCCCCCAGAAGTCCCATATACGCAGCCCAGGGCCTGGCACGTGGCGGCCTCTGAGTCTTGTCCTGCGCCTCCCCTGCAGAAGGAGCGGATCCGGGAGAAGTTTGTGGAAGCCCTGAAGACGGAGTTCGCAGGCAAGGGGCTGAGGTTCTCAAGAGGTACGGGAGCCCCCTTGGGGCAGGGCCCTCTCTGGGTGCCCCTGACTGGACCTCCTCGCCCACCTTGACCAGCCTGGGGGACTTGCAGGGCCACTGTCCTGCCTTACCTTGGGGACACCCAATTCCTCAGACACCCCCACTCTGCCAGGACCCCAGCTCTGTCTCTCCTGGCCACCATGGCCAGATGAGCTCCCTACACCCACACTGCTCTCTGATGATCTCATTTGTGCCCCATTTATTCTGGTCCAATGGATTGGATGTCCCCAAAGATACCAAGTCTATCCTGTGCCCTGTATCTGCACTGGACAGACGCTCAGGATTGTTGAGCAAATGAATAAGCGCTGTCCTTGCCCCGGCACTCCCTGCAGCTCCCCTGCCAGCTCCTTTGCTCACAGCCCCTCCCTCCATCCCTCCTGCAGGCGGCATGATCAGCTTTGATGTCTTCCCAGAGGGCTGGGACAAGCGCTACTGCCTGGACAGCCTGGACCAGGACAGCTTCGACACCATCCACTTCTTTGGAAACGAGACCAGTCCTGTGAGTTGGGCCTGGCCCGGCGCCCCTCAGCCTGCACACCTGTGGTCAAGGCCAAGACCCAGGACAACAGAACCAGCCTCCTAAGCCAGGGCTTGGAGGGGGCTGGACACCGCTGTGTCACACAGCAAGTCTGACAAGAAGGGTTTCCTGGGAGCAACACGAGGGGCAGCTCTGTAGCAGGCAGTGTAGGAACCCAACCCCAGCAACCTCCCCCAGAAGCCCCCTGCATGAGGCCTTCTCTGCCCTTCCTCTCCAGGGCGGGAACGACTTTGAGATCTACGCCGACCCCCGGACTGTAGGCCACAGCGTGGTATCCCCTCAGGACACGGTACAGCGGTGCCGAGAGATTTTCTTCCCAGAAACAGCCCACGAGGTGTGAAGAGCAACACCCAAACTTAACACTGTGAATACCCATTGCTCTGACCAGGCCCGCAGAAGAACACTGCATCGGCTGGGGTGGGGGACCCTGGGCCTGTGCACTGCTGCGAGACACATGCTGCAGGCCGAGCCTGGCCCCTCGCCTCCTGATCCCAAAGTGTCCCTGGCCTCTGCCCTGATGGCTGTGGTCATAGCTGCTGCTCGTAGTTCAGAACAGGACAGCCCCGTCTACATGGGAGGAGGCCGTGCAAGGGTGCGATGCAGGGGCCCCAGCAAATCTCCGAACCGTGTCACAAGCATTAAAGGCCCCACACACGACAAGGTGCTGTGTCGGAGGTGTCTGAGGAGTAACAGTCCACACTGTTCACGCACTGCTGAGATCCCCACTTTGCAGATGACAAGCAGGGACAAGGACGCAGCCCCAGCTCACCCAGAAGTGGGTCCACTGGGGCCTCAGACAAGGCCAGCTCAGCTCGACCTTCCCCAGCCCCTCCCAGGACGTGGGCAGGAAGCAGCTCCCAGTCCACTTAGGTCACAGTTGAGTTTATTGCCAGTGTTAGGAAGGATGGGGAGTCCGTGGCTGGGGTCTCAGGGTGACTTCTGGTGCTATGGGGCAGCTAGGATGGGGAGGAAGCTGCTGCCCCCGCCATCCAGGTGGCCCTGGCCTGATGCCTGCACAGGGAGCCTGCTCATGGGGGAGAGGCTAGGGGCAGGGGCCCAAGATGTCCTTGTCCTGCTCAGTGGGATGTCAGGTGGGCTGGCCCTTCCCAGGGACAGGGGCTGCCAGGCACTGCCCAGCCTCTGGTGGCACTGGGCTGGGATGCAGATGCCCCAGCTGATCTTGACCCTGGGGTCTTGGAGCAGTTCCAAGGCCTCCTAGACAGTCACTGACCCCCTCGTCCTGGGCATGCGTGCCCCCACTTTTCCTTGCAGCCTGGGTCGCATAAGGGTCACTGTCCTGGCAGGCCCTCCCTTGAGCCTGTGACCCCATTTCCCCCACACTGGATCTCAGGAGGGAGGGTGTGAGATGAGGCCCCTCCTAGGCCAGGTCACCCTGCTGCACACAGGGACATCAGGAGCCCAGGGGAACTCCAGCTAAGCAGGACCACCACACACCAGGGACGTGGCAGGGATGGACACCGCAGCAAGGACTCCCAGGCTGGGAGGAGGCTGGTATGGAGGCAGGCCTGGTGGATCCTTCAGTGCCTGGGTCTGGCCTTGTCCGAGGGGACATCATGTTGTCCGTCGCCATGTCTTCCCCAGCTGGTGGCTGGGCACGGAGTGGAGAATCCACAGGGTTTGTGAGTCCGAGGGGAAGAAATGGCTGCACCCGGGCTAGGGTGACGCATCCCCTGCTTGCTTCGGGGCCAGGGGAGGAGCTTGGGTGTCACAGTGCCTCTGCCAGGCCAGACGGGAACCTCAGATTCCCCTTCCACTCCCCAGGCCCCCCTTTCCTACCTGGTCAGTGCCCCAAGAGCCTGAGCAGGAAGGTAGGGGGGCCGTGTGTTCCCATGTTCAGCCCTCTTCCACTGCGTGAGGCTGGGGGCTCCCCCAAAGTGCTCACCAGCCTGGCTTCCAAGGGGAAGGATCAGGCCATGGCAGGGGCTCAGTCCAGGGTGGAGCTGGCAGAGACTCAGGTGACGCAGGCCATGGGCAGGACAAGAGGGTCCCATGTGTGTGGTGGGAAGGGACGGAGCAGGGACAGCCAGGCCAGGGCTGGTGGCCTCCCCTCCTGCCAGCTCCCAGGACAGTCACGGGTGGGTGGAGGTGCACACACACATGGCCACGAGCACAGATAGACAGATAGACAGACGTGCACACCAAAGCCACCGGGGGCTGCCCGCCCTCCCCCCACAGCTCCCAGCCTAGGAGCCCACGACCTGGCCGGACCACGTCTCGTGGGGGGTGTGGGGGGCCAGCTGGGTGAGCACCACCTCCACAGCCTGGAACTTCTGGTTCTTAGGTGGGATGGGGCACATCTTGTAGGTCACTTCGTCACCTTCCACAGGCACGTACTCCCCCTCGATGCTGGTGGGCAGGAGAGGGGGGTCAGCCTGACTCCACTGTGGCCCAGATAGAGGGCAGCCCAGCCCTACCCTAGTGAGGCCAAGATCTCACTTCCCATTTCAGCATTCTGGAAGCCTCAAGTGCTGCCTGGCCAACTGAGTGACATCCTTGTCTCAAAATAGGGCTGGGAATGGGGATGCAGCCCAGGCAAAAGGCCCTGGGTTCGATCCACAGGTCTGAAAAAATTAAATCCGAGCTAGACATGGTGGTGTACCCCTGTAGTACCAGCATGCATGAGGCTGAGGCAGGAGGATTGCCGTGAGTTGGAGGCTAGCCTGAGCTACATAATGAGTTCAAGGTCAGTCTGAAGTACACATTGAGACACACGCACGCACACACATACACAGATCCAGGAGCCAAGCAACAATAAAAACAAAATGGGACTGATACACATTATCTTCCTCTCCGTACCCTTTGGGAATAGGAAGGTCCCCGAGACTCTGCAGAGTCCCAGGGACCTCCCCTGTCATCTCTTATTAGGGCTAGCTGGGGACAAACCTCACGGGTCCTCCGCCACCCCCCAGCCCAGGGCTCCTCCAGGCTGTGTCCACCCTCCCTTCCCTGCACTTACAACCCTCCTGAGAGGGGAGGTAGAGGCAGGGATAGCAGTCACAGGCAGAGGCTGCTTCAAAGCACGGCTGGGACACCGAGGGGGACCGGCCAAGAACATGGGGGCCAGGGGACTCACTCAGACACGTGCACGAAGATGTCCTCTGAGCCGTTCTCCGGGGTGATGAAGCCGTGGCCCTGGGAGCGGGAGAACTGCTTGCACACGCCCTTGAACACCGGGCCGGCCGAGGCGCGGGCCGTCCTGGGTGGGGAGATCACAGCTATGGCCCGGCTGCCCCAGACCCTGCCCTCCCCGGCCTGGCCGGCCTGGCCGGAAGAGCCCGCCTGGGCCTGAGATCAGTCCTGGCCAGTGTACACTATGTCAGCCTCACTCTGCAGGTGTCCATACCCCGGGCCCAGAGAGGGGAACGTCCCTCTCAGAGGGCACAGCATCCGGTCACCAGACTCCCCCTCCTCACAGCCCTCTCCACGCAGCACCCTCCGCTCCTGAGGTTATTTGGGTTCTGTTTGGTTTTGGCGGTGCTGGGGATTGAATTCATGGCCTTGTGCCTGCTAAGCAAGCACTCCAGCACTGAGCCGCAACCCCAGACTACTCCGAAAGTTATTTGGATTTTAATGAATTCCTCTTACAAGATTTGTTTTTCTTTTTCCTGTTTTGTTGTGATGTGTTTATTGAGACAGAGTCTCACTGTGCAGTCCAGGCTGGCCTTTAACTCACTGTGTAGCCCAAGCTGACCTCAAACTCACAGCAATCCTCCTGTCTCAGCCTCCTGAGTGCTGGGATTATAGGTGTACGCCATTATGCCCAGCTTTAGCACAGTACTGGTTTTGTGGGATGCAGAATACTGCAGTTACTGGGGGGTCCCATACCCAGCTCCCCACCCTCATGAGGACAGTGGGGACAAAGGAGGACAGGGAGGGTGACAGAGCCCAAGTAAAGGGCAGGCACTCACGCTGAATACGTCCTGGTGCGCTTGGTGGGCAGCGGGCTGGGCAGGTCTCGCAGGGCCCCGCCCCGCTCCCACACTCTGCTGCCCTCCCTGTGGAAGGGGAAGGTGGGCCACACAGGGGACTTGGGCGAGTGGAGCGGGGGCACCACTGAGGGCGACGTGGACTCCGACGATGTCATGGTGGGGCCAGCAGGAGAGCCTGGCGGGCTCTGGGGCCCCGGGGCCGGTGAAGGGCTTGGGCGTCCTTGCGGGCAGGGCCCGGCCTGGCCCTGCTCGGCGGCCTCACCAGCCACAGGCTCCGTCTGCAGGGGACAGAGACAGAGAAACAGAGACAGAGATGACAGTTAGGTCCAGCATGAGGACAGTGTGGCACAATGGACACCGGGCTGTTCCCATGGGCCACGGCTGCATGACTTTGCCCATGCACACCTTGTCTCCACTTGTGTGTGCAAACCAGAAAGACAAAGCAATCGAAGCTTCCAGTCTGACCCTGTGACTACAGGGGCCGGCGACTAGGGCACTGGGTGGCCATGACCAGGCTTGAGTATTTCAAATTTACAGCACGGGGTTCAAACCTCGGCTGTCCCTTACAACTTAGTAGCCTCAGCCAAGAGAGACTCGGTAGGTCCCAAAGGGTGGGCAGGAACACAGGCCACAGCTCCACCTGACTCCCTGCCTTCGGCTGTGTGACCTCTTCCGCCCGCCTGGCCTGTGACAGCTCATGTCCTGCACAGGACGGGTCACAGGTCACGGGCACAGGATGGTTCTCATGCTGAGCACAATAGCCCTTTCTGCTCGCCGGGAACAGACTGCAGGGTGAGCTCCTGGGGACCTGGGCCATCTACTTTCTCAGCCCAGTTTCTGCCTCTCAAAATTAGGTTGCAGGTCTCCGTGTGTAACCAGGGGACACAGCACTTGCCCAGTGCATTCGAGAACCTCAGTCCTGAATCTGAGGCTGGGAATCGCCTGGCGGCGTGCTGGGGACTCAGCGACTCCAGCAGGCGGCACTAACAGCAATGCCTCTGCACTCAGCCTTAACTGGTTCCAAGAGGTGCAATCGGTACCAAAAATAGGAAGTACCAAGCACGCTGTTTTGGCGGGAAAGGGTAGCAAACCGCTAGGCAAACGACAGGGACAAGTTCTTTAGCTGGAATTGTTGTTTTTTTGTCATTTTTGAGACAGGGTCTCACTATGCAGTTCAGGCTGGCCTTGAGCTCACTCTGTAGTCCAGGCTGGTCTCGAACTCGAAATGATTCTCCTGCCTCAGCCTCCTGAGTGCCCAGGATTACAGGCGAGAGCCACCATTGACAAATTTTAGCTTGTATGTCGAGTATCAAATAAACAAGAACCACTGGGACAAAAGCTTCAGGTCTGAACAGGGATTTTCAGGTCAAGTAGGGAATTCCGCCCTGCGGTAGGAAGAGTCACCACAGCAAGACTACAGTGGCAAGGTTGCTGCGTGTTGCTGTGATCGACATGGATTAATAGAAGTCCCCAAGTGCACAGCCTGGCACCTGGATGACCTTGAGAAAACCACCCTGCATTTCCTCCCCTTGGGAAAAGATATAACTTCCTCTGCACTGGCCCCCCTGCACTTATCCTCGGGATTGGGAAGTCTTGGAGCCCAAGAAATCTGCCCTGGAACCCTAGCAAGGGACAAGCGGCCTGTTTGGCTGGAAGGGACCAGGAGTGCGGCTCTTTTGACATTGCCCCCAGCCTCAGTTTCCTCATCTGTACAATGGGACTGGAAGCCCTGTGTCTTTCTCTCTTAGGCCTGGACTTTAAAGAAACTCAGTAGTTTCTCTGCCACCACCCCTCACCTCACCCAGTCCTGGTGACAGAGATGAACCCTGAGCTATATGTCTATTTTTGGAGTCTTTGTGCCTCAAACTAAACATACACAAATTTGGAGTTTGCAGGGGAAGGATTTAAGGCTCTGTAGGAATCCTGAATGCAATGGGTCCAAAAATGCTTACGGCCAGGCAGCAGAGCCAGTAGTCACTTGTCTGATCTCCATTGCCACAGCAAAATCCCTGGCCTCTGTTCATAGAGATCCTCCTGCCTCAGCCTCCCAATTGCTGACAGGCTGCAGCACCATGTCTAGTTCCTTCCTTCTTTCCCTCCCTCCTTCCTCCCTTCCTTTTATTAAACCCAATACCTGATGTACACAAGTACTTCGCCACTGAGCTACATCCCTAGCCAGTCAAGGAAACAGGAGTTTACAAAAAACACAAAAAAGTAAACAGCTGGGTGTGTGTGGTAGCATAAACCTATTATCCCAGCACTAGGAGGCTGAGGCAGGAAGATCTAAAGTTCCCGCCCAGCCTGGACAATTTAGCAAAGATTCTATCTTAAAATAAAAAGTAAAAGCCAGATGTGATCACACAGGCCTGTAATCCTAGGAGGTTGAAATAGGAGGATTGCTGAGAGTTCAAGGTCAGCCTGGACTGCAAAGTGAGACCCTGTCTCGAAACAAAAACCTAACTAAATAAAAAGGCTAGGGATGTACAGGGCAAAGGCCTTGGGTTCAGTCCTTAGTACTGCAGGATAATACAGTAACAAGCCCTGGTGGTGAATGCTTATAATCTCAGTGCCCAGGAGGCGGAGGCAGGAGGAGCTAGAACCTTCTGGTGGGGGCTGCGCACTGACCTCCCTGACCTGGGGCTGATCCCAGCCTTCACTGTCCCTGTCACTTCTTCCACCTGACTCCGGGGAGCACTGTCACCAGGGTGGCGGAGCAGCCCTAGCTCAGGCCTGCACCTTCCTGGTAACCACCGCAGCGCGACCCCCGCTCTCCCCTGCCCTCTTGGGCCTTTCTGCACTGGTGTCCCTGTCTAGAGCAAGGGCAAGCTGGGGACACCGGGAGGGCAGGACTGACCTGCTTCCCAGAGAAGCCACCTGCCACCTCTGGCCAGGTGGGTAGGGGCCCTCCAGGGGTACTGAGGCCTGGCACCAAGCACTTCCCAGCCGGGTGAGTGCAGCTTTTGTGCCTGCCTGCTTTCTGCAGTCCTGGGTATTGAAGCCAGGGCTTTTACCCTGACCTACATCTCCTGCCTTTTTTTATTTTGAGACAGGGTCTCCATAAGTTGCTAAGTTGTCCAGGCTGGGTTGGAACTTAGCATCTTCCTGCCTCAGCCTCCCAGAGTGCTGGGATGACAGGCCCATGCCATCACCCCTGGCCCAGTTTTTCTTTTAATTAATCCTCCCAGCAGCTCTTTCAGGTTGCTGTCACTGTTAAACCATTTTGCAGATGAGGAGACTGAGGCCCAGAACAGGATTTCAGCTAGGACCAATGACTGGGCAGGAGGCCTGCGCCAGCCCCTGCATCTCCAGTAACTAGCTATGTGACCTTGGGCAGGGCCATCCCTGTCTGGGGCCTGCATAACACCCAAAGGCCTGGGAGGCCAAGGAAAATGGGACATGGCGCCCAGGCAGAATGCCCAGGTCTGACCCTCTCTCCTGAGCTCAGCTGCTGGGAAGAACAAACAGAAATGAGGCTTCTCTGGTCCGGGCTCTGGACATCCTGCACCATAGAATTCTCCAGAGAGGTGAGTTTCTGTGCTTTCACCCCAGCGTGGCCAGGAAGGTTGAAGTTACATTTGTTCCTATTTTACAGATGAAGCCCAGAGAGGTTAAGTGCTGCTTCAAGGTCACACAGCAGGTTAGGGATGGAGCCCAGCTTTGTCTGATGGTCTAGTGCTCTTCCTGTGAAGGTCATTTCTGCTTCTGGTGAGTCAAGATGAGGCTAGAGCTTTGCAAAAAGAACTTTCCCAGAGCAACTAAAAGTCAGGCTCCCCCAAGTGCAGGTTTGTTTGGCGGCCCTGCAGGGATTTGGTGTCCTGGGGCTTCTCCTGCCCACACCAATGCCCCTCAGAGGCAGCAGTGGAGCTGGGCATGGTATATGTCTGCAATCCCAGCACTTGGGAAGCTGAGTCAGGAGGTTCACTGCAAGTTGAAAACCAGGCTGAACTACATAGTGAAACCCTGCCTCAAAAAAGAAAACAAACAAACAAAAAAACATCAGGGCTATTTGGAGATAATCCAAGGTCTGACGCAATGTCCTAGGGCCACAGCACTCGGGATGGTGACTCAGCCCTGGCAGCAGGTGACCATAGCTAGCTGGGACTCTGCTCTAGTAATCAGCTCCCCCCTACCCCCCGCAAAGGAGGTACAAATGGTTGTTGTGCCCTGCTCTTGACCATGAGAATCCTTCTCTCCCTGGACAGATCAGGGAAGGCAAAGCAGCTCAGCCACGCAGGGCTGTGTGATCCAGGCAAGCGCTGCCCCTTTCTGGGCTCCCCCTCATCTCAGTTGCATAAATTGTCTCTGCTCCCCATGCCTTGGCCCAACTCTTCTCTGGGGTTGCCAGAAACATACATGAGGGCATACCCCAAGGTGATATCTTCCAACCTGTGTGCTATGTGTCAATAAAAGAACATTTACACCCAGTGTGGTGATACATGCCTGTAATTTCAGCACTTGAGAGGCTGAGGCAGAAAGATCTTCAGGCATTTGAGGGCGGCCTGGGCTACATGGTGAGTTCAACACCAGCCCGAATTACAGATCAAGACCCTATCTCAAAAAACCAAAACAAATAAACAAAAGTTCAGCGGCAATGATTAATATTATTAGCATACCCATTCTACAGAAGGGTCAACTGAGGCTCAGAAGGGTGAAAAAGCCTGCTGAGGTTACAGACCTGGCTGGAGGTTGCCCTTTTGCACCTCGGAAGTGTCTGGGGTTGGGGTGGGCAGCAGGTAAGAAGTAGACCACTCTTCCCAAAAGCAGCTCATGGAGAAGGAAGCACAGGGGTGGAAAAACTGGGGAGCCAGGACTTGGGGTTCTATTTCTGGTGTTGCGCTGACTCAGACAATGACCTTGGCTGAGTCACTTGCCAGCACTGAAGAGCTTCAAAACAACTCCCCAATAAAACATCCCACCCCCAAGCCGAGCCCCCATTGTGGGGAGCAGCCAGGAGGAGGGGTGCAGTAGCTTCAAACAGAAATACTGGTGGCTGCAAATGACAGGCAGGGACTGTGGGACAGGGCAGCTGGTCTGCAGTGGGCAGTGGGAGGGTGACAAGGAACAACCTCGGGCCCAGCGGACAGAGTGACCTGGCCCGGCTCTCCGCGGCCTCCCCAAAGCTCTTTAAAATACATCAGTGCCAAAGTTGCGCTTGCAGCTGGAGGTGACCTAATTAAACCTGCTTCCCTCCCCTCCCTAGTGTATGTGTGTGTGTTGGCCAGCATACTTCAGGGACCTCCATCCCTGCCCCTCCTCCTCCTCGTCCTCGTCCTCCTCCTCCTCACCTCACACCCAGGCTGCCTGGGGACAGCTGGGCTTCAGGCCTTGGGGCATCTTTGCCATCTGCGGTCCAGCAGCCAGGATGGCACCAGGAGCACCATGTTCCCTTCCCAGCTTTGCTTCTGCCCAGGTGAGTGACCTCAGACAAGTCACTGTCTCACTCGAGTACCCCCCAGGACCAGGCTGGTTAAAGTGATGTATAGAAGGCTGAGTTTGAATGCAAATCAGTGTGACCTACAACCCCTGCTGTGCCACCCCTGCTCTGTGACTGTCCTTTCCTTGGCTCAGGGACAAAGGGAAAGTCCCCTCCACTCTGACCCGCCCTCCCAGGGTTCCTGTGCAGTTGGGACAAAAATCTGATTTGTGCTGGGTGTGGCGGTGCATGCCTGTGATTCCAACACTCAGGAGGCTGGGGCAGGAGGAGCCTGCAAAATCAAGGTTAGCCTGAGCTATGTAATGAGTTCAAGGTCCGCCTGAACTACACTGCAAGACACTATCTCAAAAACAATCAAAAACCAAAAACAAACAAAAATGTGTGATCTGTCACAAGTCCCATTCCCCCTGGGCTCCCGGACTTGACCATCACAGCCAAGCTCAGAGCGCCCTCTGCTGGTGCCTCTGGGGGGTCCCGCCTCTGGACCGGCTGGCGGATGGGCCCTTTTCATAGGTCCTCCGGGGTCCCCAAGAAGCTCTTCTCTGGCCAATGACATCCATGAACCCTGTCTAGCATCTCTCTCAAGGCCTGAAACAAATCTCTACGACTAGAACTGCCCTGTGCCCTCTGCAGCTCCTGACAGCGCCTGTCTTTGGATTTTCGTTCTCCTTCCCGGCGCTGGGGGCAGACAGATCAGGATGGGCAGATGCAGAAAACAGATGTTTCAAGGGTATGGGAGGGGTGAGGCTGGGAGGAGGAAGCACTGACAACTGGAAGCCCAGAGGCCTCTGGGATGGACCAGGTTTGGTAAGGGGGCCGGCGAACCCTCCTTCCTAGCGAGCGGCCCCTGCTGGGTGGCATCCAGGCGGAGGCCTGGTGCCAGGCGCTGGAGAGGTTGCCCACCCCCCGCTGGGCACACTTCCTCCTCCCCTCCCCCAGCCCGCGGATGCAGCCGTTCACACTTGTATTTATTATTGTTCTCCAAGCCCCCTCCCTCTGCCCGGGAAGAGCAAGCAGGCGGGCTGGCAGCTTGGCAGGAACCGGCTGTCTCCCTCTGGGTGCCAGCGTCGCCCCTTATCTGCGCGCGGTCTCCTTGTGCCAGGGTCAGGCCATTCGGGGGCTTGACGCCAGCCAGGGTGGCCCTGAGTCCCTGCACCCCACCGCCCGGTGGCCCTGCAGGTCCTGGCTTTTCAACCCCTGCCCTGGAGGGGGAGCTGCGCCCTGGCAAGGGCGGGTCAGACCCCAGCCTCAGGGACCCAGGCGGGCGCGGGGGCCCCGAGGGAGGCAGAGAGACCCCGAGCCACCTTCCCAAACCCAGGCACACGACTGTCCCCATCACACGGGAAAACTGTCAGGACGAGACAGCTGCCCGCGGTCCTCGACGTCCCCTCCCAGTCCCGGGCCACAGTCCAGGGACGCTCCCCGCCACGCTCGCCTTCCAGCCTGCGAGGAGCCCTCGGAGGAGCCCTCCGGGTGCCCACGGGAGGCTGCGGCCCGGCCGGACCGGGCTCCCGCGGTGCAGGCAGCCCCACCCGGCGCCCCCTGCGGCCCGCGCCGGCCCTCGGCCTCGCCCTCCCGTCCTGCCGGCGCCTCACCTCTCCCGGCGGCGGGATCCGGCGCTCGCCGGCGGCTCGGGCAGCCCGGGCCGCGGGGTGAGTGTGAGTGTGAGTGTGAGCGCGCGCCGGCGGCCGCGGCCCTCACTCACTCACTCGCTCGCTCACTCAGTCACTCACTCACTCGCTCGCCCGCTCGCTCACACGCCTCCCGCTGACGTCAGGAGCGCCGGGGAGGGACGCGGTGGGAATTTGTATTCTCTGCCTTTAAAGGGGCACCAGGCTCCGCGAGCGGCGAGCGGGAGGCACCCAGCTGTGTCGCTCAAAGCTCCAGAGCTTGTTGTTTGGCAAAGTGGCTTTTATTGCTGGGCCGGGGTGTAATTTGCTCCGCCAGGTCAGGGGAGCTGTGAGGGGAACGCGGGGGAGGAGAGGCCCCGAGCCAACAGAGGGAGCAGGTGGGGTGGGGTGGAGATCGAGTCTGGGTGTGCAAGTGCACACGCACACACATGTATGCGCACGCTGGGGACCAGCCCGGGAGGCCCCGATCCTAGAGCTCCAGGAGTCCGCATCAGACAGGCGCTGGGTCTGCTGGTCTTGGGCACCTCCTTTACTACTCCGGCCCCACCGTGAGAGGCCGCAGTGCAAGGGCCCTAGGGTGCTGGAGGCCTCCTTCCACCTCAGCTTGGGCTGGGAAGGAAGTCACTTAGCACTACTGGGCAGGCTGGCATTTGCAAAAGAAGTCTTATTAACATAAGATGCTAGATGCACACGCCTGTAATCCCAGCTACTCAGGAGGCTGAGGCAAGAGGATTGGAAGTTTGAGGCCAGCCTAGGCAATTTAGTGAGACCCTGTCTCAAAATGAACAAAACAAAACAAAACAAAACAACAATAAATATATATATAAAAGAGTAGGTAAGTGTAATGCATGGAGGGTCCTCTGACAGGCAACAAGCTTTGGCCTCATTTACACCTCACAATGCTACAACTTTTTACCCTTATGGCACTGGTGGAGAGTGAGGAGGTGGGACTCTCCAGCATCATCCATCAGCTGCTGGCTAGACAGTGTGCCATATATTCCACCTTCTAAAACCTTCCAGAACCTTCCAGAACAATGGCACTCAGCCCCTCCTGATTTCTGGTTATACAAGAGAGACTAGAGATAAACACTGCCTGGGTTTCCCTGGGCCCAGGGTTCTGACTTCATTCCACCTGTGGTCTAAGGATTCTACTCAGAGGTGTCCCCTTACCCCTAACAAATTATCAGATTCTTTCTTTGTCTTCTTCTTCAAAAATAACAGTTTTCAAAGTGCTCACCCTTGAGTGTGAAGTATATGCCTGTGATCCCAGCCCTCTGGGAGGCTGTGGCAGGAGGATGGCAAGCTGGATAACTCAGTGATTGGGCAAGACCCTGTCTCAAAAGAAAAGAAAAGAAAAAGGCCAGGTGCCTGGAGTGTGGCTCATGCCTATAATCCCAGCACAGGCGCTAAGGCAGGAGGATTGCTTCAAGTCCCAGGCAAGCCTGGGCTGCACAGTGTTCAGGACCTGCTGTCCCTAGACTGCACAGCAAGACCGTCTCAAAAAACAAAGCAGGGGAGAGGCGAAGTGGGGCTGGAATGCAGCCCAGTTCAAAGGCAGTGGGGTCAGTCCCCAGCACAGGAAAAAACAAAACAAAACAAAAAACAACCCTCTCAGGCATCATCCTACCTGCCTGAGTGAGGAGACAGCTCCAGAGCGATTGTGGGGCTTTGTGTCACATGGTGTCACCAAGAAAGGTCCCAAGTCTGGGTCTGGGTGCCCGATTTTCAAGCACATGGGCCTGCCCCCTCCAAGAGCAGCCCCGGGGCTCAGAGGGCACCTACAGTGCTCCGTGCCCCTGCACCACCACCCTGCTGTCACCTGGGAAATCACCTCTGCCCTCCCCGGTCATCAGGACCCTGACCAGGCTGGGACCTGGGCTGGAGAGGTGGCACTGAGCCTGGCTGTCCTCTTTGTGGCCTTGACCTGTTGGTGGCTGCCAGCAGCAAACCGGCAGCAGAGAGTGACGGGGAGCTGCCAGTGACAGGAAGGACCCAGGCTTGCCAGGCTCCCAAGAGAGGTCACAGCAGGGAAGCCCTAGGAAGGAGGCTGGTGTGGCAGGCCGGTGGCTGGGTGAGTGAGGTTCTTTCTTTATTGGTGTTTTTGAGACTGGGTCTCACTGTATCCTTCAGACTGGCCTTGAACTCACAGTGATCCTCCTGTCTCAGCCTCCCCCTCAGGGCTGAGATTACAGGCCTGCCTCATGGGCCAGCTCTGTGGAGGCTGAGAAGCTGAGCCCCGCCTTGGCATCAGGTTTCCCGTCTCGGAGGCCCTGCAGTGCAGGACCAAGAGAAGGGGGCTGGCTGGGCGCAGTAGTGTGATCTGAGCTGGCGCAGCTGTTCATTGAGAAATGAGCAGCAGAGACACCACCCACCCTCCCACCCGCTGCTCTGCAACAAAGAGATCCTGGCTGCAACTGGGGCTACACGAGGCTATTTTTGTGAAAAGCTGAGAATTCCAAAGCTCATCTTCTGGAAAAAAGCCTCCCACCTCGGAGGTTCCACCTGTGCTGTGATTCGACGCCTGTCACTGCAGCCAACAGGGACGGCCCAGGACCCTGTGGCCTTGAACCCACATAACAGCCCTTGAAGGGACAGAGACCCCTAAGGTGATGGGGCCACTTCACAGTGATGTGGAAACTCAGACAGAAGGTAGGAAACCTGGCCAACATCACACAGCCGGTGAGGGGAGCGGGGTTTAAAATGCAGAAGCTCAAACCTGGGTATGGCAGTGCACACCTGTCATCCTGGTTCTGGGGAGGCTGAAGCGGGAGGATCCCTGCGTTCAATGCCAGCTTGCACTACACAGCAAAACTCTGCTGAAACAGAAATAAAGAAAAGGAAAAGGAAAAAAATGCCCACATGAGAGGAGGCCCCTATCCACGGGCTTCAGCACTCAGGCTGAGGTGCGAGGATCAGGAGCAGCTTGGGCAGCATAGTAAGACCTTGACTCAAAACAGAAAGAGAAAAAATTTTAATAAAAAAAACCCCCGCAAACTGGGTGTGGTGGTTCACACCTGTAATCCCAGCACTTGGGAGGCTGAGGCAAGATTATTTTGAGTTTGAGGACAGCCTGGGCTACAAAGTGAGCCCAAGACCAGCCTGAACTGCATAGTGAGACCTTGTCTCAAGAAAACCAAAAAAAAAAAAAAAAAAAAAAAGACAAAAAGCAGCACAGTGCCCCATGAGCAGGGTTCCAGCCATGCAGGCAGGCGGCCCAGGGAGGGCATCGGCCCCTTCTCCATCCCTGCTGGCTGCAGAGAGCCCTTGAGACCCGGGTCAGGAGGATCTGCCACCCTGACACCTGGGAGCTGTCGTCATGGTCATGGAAATGCTGTCTTCTTTCTTTGGCTGCCCAGAGCTCAAGGTCAAGCTCTTCTGCTAAAAGGGTCCACAGGACCAGGTCCAGCTCAGGGCTAATATTTTCTTTTGTTTTCTTTCTTCCTTCCTTTTTTTTTTTTTTTTTTTTTGAGACAGGGTCTCACTATGCAGTTCAGGCTGGCAGGGAATTCCCAGCTATCCTCTTGCCTCAGTTTCCCAAGTGCTGGAATTCCAGGCACATACCACCACTCCTGGGCCTTTTGTGAATTTGATTTTGATTTCTGGGTTCTTTTGTTTGCTTTTTTTTTTTTTTTTTTAACTTTTTATCAGTACCAGGGATCGAACTCACGACCGCCTGCTTGCAAGGCAGGTGCTTATGCCGCTGAGCTAAATCCCCAGTCCCTTGTTTGTTTGTTTGGTCTTTGAGACGGGGTCTCACCATGTAGTTCAGTCCAGTCTTAAACTCACCATGTAGCCCACGCTAGCCTCAAACTCTTGAAGATTCTCCCACTTTTTCTTTTTTTGGTACCAGGGGATTGAACTCATGACCTAACACTTGCCAAACCCACCTTGAGTACTGCAATTACAGGTGTGTGCCATCACACACAGCCTTCAGGTTTATTTTGAGACTGCTTCTGAGTAGCTGGGATTACAGGTGTGCAGCACTGTGTCCAGCCACCGGCAACACTTCTGGCCACTAGAGGGTGAATAGTGAACGAAACACACAAAATTTCTGTCTTTCTGATGCTGACAGTCAAGAAGGGAGAAAGACAATAAAAGGACCTAAAGCTGTAATTATAGTGTCTGTCAGAAGGCAATAAATGCTCAAGAAAACTATTAAATAGGGAGGTGAGGCAGGGTGTGGTCATACATGCCTGTAATCCCAGTGCTGTGGAGGCTGAATCAGGAGAATTCCTGCAACTTTAAGCTCAGCCTCGGATACATAATGAGACCCTGTCTCAAAAAAAGCAAACAGGGGGCTGGGGATTTAGCTCAGCGGCATAAGTGCCTGTCTGGCAAGTTCAAGATCTCAAGTTTGATGCCTAGTACCAAAATAAATAAACAAATAAATAAAATGATGTCTCATACCCACTCCTCTGTAGTTTGCTTGTTTTAGATTGAACAATATACCCAGAATATCATTCTACAGTAATATACAGAGAGCATTCTCAGGCCGGTCTTGGGGGTATAACCTGCAATCTCAGATGCTGTGGAGGCCGAGACAGGAGGGTGGCAAGTGCAAGGTCAGCCCGGGCAACATATCAAGATCTTGTTTCAAAATAAAAAAATAAAAAGGACTGCAGATGTGGCTCAGTGCCATAGCCTGGTTACACTCCTGAGGACAGAGAACAAAAGCTTTCTTATTCCTTGATATGGCTTCATATCTTTCTGTTGCATGGTGTACCACATGTGTTTTCTGAAGGCCAGTCCTCTGCTGCCTTGAACTCTTGACCCTGACTTGCCCTTTGAAGTCCACTCTGTCCTGAGCCCTGTCCCGCAGAGAGGCCGGAGGCGCTGCTGCAGTGTGGGGCTGGGAGCCCTGGCCCTTCTCACTCTGTTCTCTTCCAGCCTTCACGGGTTCCAGCTCGACTTTTCCCTCTAGCTGCGACCTTCAGTAATCATTGGCTACCCTTTGTCCATTCAAATGGCACAGATTTGCAAGCCTGGCCTGGTGCCAGGTACTGGGCTAGGCCCAAAGGCCATGTGGCTACCATAGAGATGTCCTCTGCTGTCACGGAGGCTGAGACCAAGTCACCAGGGTGGCATTGGAAAGCCCCTCAGTGCTCCCTGGAGCGATGCAGGGAATTAATAAAGTGGCCTGTCCTGGCTGCCCAGCAAGGAAACCATCCTGCCAGGGTGGCATTGTTGCAAGCCTGGGAGCCAAAAACCAGAAAGGAAGACAGGGAACCCAGAACACTGCGCCTGTAGCCCCCCAGCCTGGACCCTAGCCAGGTTCCCATGTGGTGAAAGGCCTCAGCGCTGGCTCCTGTCCCTCTGTCCCCCACGCCACCCAGCCCTCCATTCCCTGGAGACCCCCAGAGTCTGCCCAGCCCCCGGCTCTGCTCCAGCCCCTCCCCACCTGTGGGCCTCACAGTTTCTGTGTCACTATGTCTGTCATTTCCCTGGCCTCAGGCTAATGTCATGGCAGGACTGCCTGGTGGTTAGAATCGTGTTCTCTGGAGCCCAAGCACCAGCTCTGTGTCACATGACTTGCGTGACCATGGACAACTTCCCTGACCTCTGTGTCCTGAGTAAGGCGAAAGGAGATAACAAAGGAGACCAGTAGAAGTTACTGTTGGAGTGTGTGTCCAGCGCTGACCTGGCTTCCATCCTAGTATAGGGGTGGGGGTGGGATATAAGAGCAGCTACCTTATGCAGTTGTTGTGAGTGTAAAAATTAATATAAACAGCTGGATGTGCACAACTGTATTCCCAGCAGTCAGAAGGCTAAGGAGGGAGGACTGCTGTGAGTTCAAGACTAGCCTGGGCTACATAATAGGTTCAAAGTTTTGAGACTGAACTACAAAATCTCAAAAAACCTAAAACCAACAAACCAGAATAAAACGTATTCAGGCATTGGGGCATGGTGGTGCACACCTGCAATTCCTGGAGACAGAGCGGGAGGATTGCTGTGAGCTTGAGGACAAAGCCAGGACTACACAGTGAGGTTTTTTTGTTATTATTGTTTTTTTTTGAGACAGGGTCTCTCTATGCAGTTCAAGCTGGCCTTGAGCTCATTTTGTAGCCCAGGCTGGTCTCGAACTCAAAAGGATCCTCCTGCCTCAGCCTCCTGAGTGCTGCGATTACAGGCGTGAGCCACCACACCCGGCTTTCTTCTTCTTTTTGAGACAGAGTTTCACCATTTATTTCAGGCTGGCTTTGAATTCATGGTAAGATTAGAGCCATGCACCACCACATCTAGCTCAATTGTTATTTCGGTTAAAACACGCTGCAATATTTTCCCAACTCTTTGTTTTGTCTTGTTATTGTGGTACTAGGGGTTGCACTGTCCCGATCTTTCTAATTTAATTTAATTTCTCATTTTGTTACAGGTCTTGTTAAATCGCTAAATTGCCCTAGGCTGGGTTTAAGTTTGTAATCTTTCTGCTTCGCCCCCCAGAGTGCTGAGATTACAGGTCAGCACCACCACACCTAGGTACATTGGCCTTTTGAAAGATGACTTGGCTGCAGTACACAGGACGCGTTAGACAAACAAGGAGAACAAGCGTGGCTCAGTCCCCGCAAGCGCTGACCCAGCTTGGTTGGCCCTAAAGGTCGCCTAGCAACCAGAAAGCACTGCAGTTTCTGTGCTTTGACCGCCTGTTAGAGGAGATCCCATCCCATTTATCTCCATGCCCCGCCTCCGCCCCGGACAGGAGCCTATAATCAACCCTGCCCGGGGTCAGGGGGCGGGAAGAGGTTTTCTATTGGTCAGTTCTCCGGAAACGACGGGAGTCGGATCCTAGCGCACGTCGTGGGTGCATGGACAAGTTGAGTGGCGGCAGCCAGTGGTGCGGCCGGGAGCCTGTTGGCGAGATCGGACACCCCGCGAGCTACGCGGAGACCTCCTCCCGCCGGGTCTTGTTTCTTTCCATTGCAGTAGTGGACCACGACTCGCGTGAGCCCTTCGAGACCCAGCTTCTTCTCCCAGCTGCCGCCCTGTGTCGGCGGGTGGTGGTGGCGTGGTCTCGGTGATTGTGTGGGGAGCCGACGGGTGTTCGGGTTCCCACCGGCCCACGTCCCCTCTACGTGACCAGCGCCCCAAGAGGAGGCCGGGATGTTTGTTCTGGTAGAGATGGTGGACACGGTGCGGATCCCCCCGTGGCAGTTTGATAGGAAACTCAACGACTCCATTGCCGAGGAGCTGAACAAGAAATTGGCCAACAAGGTACTGGGCTTCGAGGCCCAGGGGTGCCCAGCCCTGGCCTTGGGCAAGTAGCGGGATGCGGTGAGGTGCACCCGGCCTCGTAAGGAGGTTGGAGGGGATCAAAAGAGAAAAATGGAGCCAGGCGTGGTGTGTAATCCCCACACTCTGGAAAGCTGAGGCAGTCACAAGTGTGTCACAAGTTTAGATTGTCTGGTCACTCAGTGACTTAGGTCCTACCTCAAAATAGAAAACAGGGGATAGAACTCAGGTCAAAGGCCCTGGGTTCAGTCCCCAGACCACAGAGTAAATAAATAATAAATAATAAATAGCCTCAATAGGAAGTGCTAGATTCCACACTTGAAATCACACTTGCCAGCTTTGGCAAAGTGATTGTCTCCCAGCTTCAGTTTCTAGTGCACGAGGTTTGCTGTCGGGAGCTTTACCATTCAGTCCTGCACACCTGCGTGGCCGCCTCTTGCCCCGGGGCTGGCTCCTGCCATCACTCCCCTCCTCAGAGCTCATCACGCCTCTTCTTCTCTTCCTTGTCTTCTCTTCCTCTTTTCTTTTCCTTTCTTCTTTCTTTCTTACTACTTTTTTTGTTTTGTTTTGTCTTTCTGAGACAGAGTCTCACTCTGCAGCTCAGGCTGGCCTTGAACTCATTTTGTAACCCAGGCTGGCCTTGAACTTGCAACGATCCTCCTGCCTCCGCTCTCCTGCCTCAGCCTCCCGAGTGCTGGGATTATAGGCACTCGTGCCTCACCTGGTACTTCTTATCTTTATCTGCACTCTTGGGTACTGCTTTTCTTTTCCCTCTCCTTGTGTGTTTTCTGCCTCGCAGCTTCCCTCCCCACACTTAGCCAGAGTCTAGAGGAGCAGCGGCTCTGTACTTAGCTGTTGATTGGGTGAATGAAAGCAGCAAGGGTTAGGGTGAGGGTTAGGGCCTGTGCGGTGAGGAAGAGGGAGGTGGTGGAGGAGGAGGGAACCGCCCTGCAGGACAGGCCCTCACCCACCTGTGCGAAAGAGGGACTTGATCTGGAATTAGGGATAAACAGCTGTGTCTGGGAGGTGGCACTCCGATAGTGTGGAGCTAATGGGGGGTTCACTTTTGGAGGTGCCAGTGGGGGTGCAGAGAGAGGCATGTAGGTGGCAGAATCGGAAGGTGCAAAGGTCCTACAGAAGGAGCGTGCTGAAGCACCTGCCAGGGCATGGACAAGGCTGGGTGGCCAGCAGAGGTGAATTGGGGAGGGTAGGCAGGTAAGGCTGGCAAGAGCCAAGCTGTCCGTCTCTGGGGGACTCTTCAGGGTGCAGGTCTTCTGAGAGCAATAGAAGGTGGTGGGCTGAGAAGGGTCAAGAGCTGCCTGGGCCAGGTGAGGAGACCCACTCGGGGAGCTCCACTCTAGGGTGGAGTTGTGGGGAGCACCCTGGAGGCCTGGGCACTGACTTCCAGCAGTTACTTTATAAGTGGAAAGCTGGCGGTAGGGCATCAAGTGGGGCACAGGGCACTGGGGGCCCTTTGGGGATGAAGCTGAGCCCTCGAGGGCAGGCAGGGCTGTGGCTCCCTGAAGCGCACTCATTTCCTTTAGTGTCTGAAGCCAGCGGCTGGCTCAGCTGTGTATCTGCCCCTCAGTGGCTGGGTAGCCGGTTGTTGGGGCTGGGGTGGTCTCTGGGTGGCAGCCCCAGAGCACTCACTGTGTCCACCTCTGCGTCTGGGAGCTGAGCTGGGGGAGCTCAGCTGTGGCTCTCATGCACCCCAGTGAGTGCGGGCTTTGGGGGCACTGGAAAATGAGGTTCGACCCATGATTCCTGGTAGCAACAAGGACCCTTGACTGATTCCTAGTTACTACTTGTGAGCCAGGCGCTGGGCTGGGGGCTCTCTATCCATTCTCTGTTCATTTAACAGTAACACAGCTGGTCTTTCTTTTTCCTTTCCTTCCTTCCTTTGTGGTATCACTGTGTTCTCCAGGCTGACCCCAAACTTGCAGTGATCCTCCTGCCTCAGCCTTCTAAGTGCTGGGATCATGTGTGCACCACCATGCCTGGCTTCTTTGGGGGGAGGTGCCAGGGATTGAACTAACAACCTCGTGCTTGCCAGGCAGGTGCTTATGCCACTGAGCTAAATCCCTGGCCTCTGGTTTCTTTTTTAACAAGGTCCTGAGGATTGAACCCAGGACCTGCACACTGAACTACATCCCCAGCCCTTTTTATTTATTTTGCTAAATAAATTGGGCTCAAACTTGTGATGGTCTCACCTCAGCCTCGAAGAGTGCCAGGATTACAGTTGTACATCGCCACACCTGGCTGGTATTTCTTTTTTTGCAGATGGGGAAACTGAGGCTCAGATCAGGAAGGAATGTGGTTTGGTCCTGCTCTCAGCTTAACCCATGTGCAGACCCTGCCTTCCATTCTGGAGGACAGAACTGTAGCACATAGTCCTAGGGACAAATTCAAGAAAGACAAACTTTGCCCGTGACATTGGTCAGGATGTGTGCGCAGCCTGAAACTGCAGAGAAATCTTAATAATCCATGGGGAAGGGCTGGGGATTTAGCTTAGCAGCATGAGTGCCTGCCTTGCAAGCACGCAGTCATGAGTTGAATCCTTGGTACCAAAAAAAAAAAAAAAAAAAAATCCATGGGGAAAATCATGATTGTGCTGTGCCCTGTATTTAGACAAGTCAGGAACGGCAGCATATGCTTATAATCTAAGCATTTGGGAGGCTGAGGCAGGAGAGTCGCTGCAAGTTTGAGGCCTACCTGAGCCACATGTGAGACCCTGCCTCAAACAGTAACTAGAACAGCAGCAATAGCTTTGGAAACAACAAACAAAACAACAAAGCCAAATAAAAGATTTTGGTTAAAAAAAATAGAAAAGGAAACCTATGATCAGAGAGGCGGGGGGGGGGGGCGTGGAGCTGGCACTGGAAGCTGAGTCTGTCTGATCACCAGGGCCTTGCACTTTCCAGAGCTCTGCATTCTTTTTTTTTTATTTAAAGATTAAAAAAAAAAAAGCAGTAAAAATACAGAATTTCAAGTACAAGTAATACAGAATTTCAAGAAAAAAATATACAGGAAGAAATCACTAGTTAATAGATTACATACTGTCATCTTAGAAACAGTTGTCCAAATTACAAAATTAAAGCATACAAAGTGGGCATTCATACAGTGAGATTGCAGACAGTTCTCTTCCGTGATCCAACAAAAACTCAGTAATATGGTTTCTATCCTACACACTTAAATATACATGCAGTTGTATCCTTTAGATCACTTTCTTTTCCTCTCTTTCTTACAGAATTACACTTTTTGGGTTTTATTACTCCCACAGTTCTTATAACTTTTTTTTTTTTTGAAGAGTTAAAAACAAACAAACAAACAAAAAAAAACAAATGCGACCAAGCAAAACAGTCAGAACAGAAGGATGGACATAGTACATGATGAAACAACAGAATACTAGGTGATCAACAATGGTTACCATTACGCCTCTTGCTATCTTAAAAAGAGTTACCTATATCATCAGATATAATAGAATTGAACAAAACAGTACAGAACAAGACCAATAAAACCTACATTGGAGACCTTACAGGACTTCAAAAGAAGATAATAGTCAAACCATAATGGGCATCATAGTAAATCTTACTGCCTTCAAAGTGGTTGCCGATACCCTCAAACTTGATACTATCAACAGAGCTCTGCATTCTTCTGAGGTCCCCGTCATATCACCTCCTTCACATCCTGCAGAATCCTGGCTCATTCCGTCTTTGTTGTTGGTGGTGGTGGTTTTGAGATAGGGTCTCAAGGTGTGTAGTCCAGGCTGGGCCTTGAATTCCCAGCAGTCCTCCTGTCTCAGCCTCCCCAGTGCTGGGATTCCGGCATGTGTTCCTAAGCCCAGCTCATCACAAGCATCTCTGCAGAGCCTGCAGGGGTGGGTCCCAGGGTCAGCATGGGTCACACACATGCCTGCAGGTCGTGTACAACGTGGGACTCTGCATCTGCCTGTTCGACATAACCAGGCTGGAGGACTCCTACGTGTTCCCGGGAGACGGCGCATCCCACACCAAAGGTAGGCCAGGTGCCCTGTCTTCCGGGGCATGGTGCTCAGTCCAGCACAGTGGGAGTCTTGGGGGGGGGTGGGGGACAGGGAACTCAGGGTCCCCTCCTGACACTGCAGGAGTTGGCTTGGTGATGGCGAGCATACTGGCACCCTCTCTAGGCCCCAATTTCCTTTTCTGTGAGACACGGGGGCAGGTGGACGTGGTGACCCTCGAGGTTCTGCAGCTACCAGGTTGGCCCCATCGGTGCCCCTTTGGGTCCCAGCTGTCTCCAAGCCCAGCTCTCAGCCCAGCACTTGGCCTGCCCTCAGATAGTGGGGGGGAATGGGTAGGGTGGGTAGACACACTGGGGAGCAATGGCGTGTGGGCCAGCTCGGTGCTAGACCACAGTATCCAAACCTACACTCTGCCACTTATTAGCAGTGTGTCCTGAGTAGACTGTCACTTCCCTGGACCTCTGATTCCTAATGCAGTGTATTTTCAGAATACACTGAGGCTGAGGCAGGAGGATGACTGTGAGTTCAAGCCTGGCCTAGGCAAGGCCTCTTTTACTTTGAAATAGAATCGCATTGTGTAGCCCAGGCTGGGCTTGAACTCATGAGCTCCTGCTGCCTCAGCTTCCCCGGCGCTGGGTTCCAGGTGTGCGCCACCAGGCCTGGCTCGGCCTTTGCTGTTGTTGAATTGACCACTGGACATGCCCTTTGGAAGCAGACAGCTTGGGGTTTTTTTTTGGTACTGGGAATCAAACTCACAACCATGCTCTTGCAAGGCAGGCGCTTATGCCGCTGAGCCAAATCCCCGACCCTTTTTTTTTTTTATAATTTTTTTTTTTTTGGTACCGGGGATCAAATTCACGACCTTGCAATTGCAAAGCAGGTGCTTATGCCGCTGAGCTAAATGCCCAGCCTCACAGCTTGGGTTTTTATCTGTTCAAAGTTGTCCACCAGCACCGCTGTCTAACTCCATGATACTTCCCTCACTCCTGCAAGAAGCCCTGTGGCGCTCAGCGGCCGCTCCTCACATCCGTCTGCAGTGGCTTCCAGTCGATGTGCACCTGCCTGTTCTGGACACATCAACCATACAGTGTGTGGCCTTTTGCCTGCAGCTGCTGCCACATCATGCCCTCAAGGTCCAGAGGTTCATCTGTGTTGTAGCAAGTGTCAGAATTTTTTTAAATTTTTGTGTTTGTTTGTAGTGCTTGGGGTAGAACCCAGGCCTTCACATGCTAAGCAAGTGCTCTGCACTGAGCCACACCCCTGCCTCCTCCTTTTTTGAGGCTGACTAATATTCTATGGTGTGCATACACCATGTTTTGTTTATCCCTTCAGCCCTTGGTGGACCTGTGCTGCCCACTTACTTGCTTTTTTTGTTTTTTGTCTTTTTTGTTTTTATCGGTACCAGGGATCGAACTCACAACTGCCTGCTTGCAAGGCAGGCGCTTATGCCACTGAGCTAAATCCCCAGCCCCTCCACCACTTGCTTTTGCATGTGGTTTCAGAGGGAGCTCCCAGGCACCGAACTCCAAGCCCTGTGCCCAAACCAGGCCTGGCACCAACCTGGTCCAGGCTCTGCAGGTTTGTGAGACCTTGCTGAGCGCTGCGTCACCTGGAGGATGGGTCCTCCCGTCCCTGGGAGGAAAGCGCAAGGCTCGGCATCTTCCAGCTGGCTTGTTCTTGAAACCACTCCCTCTCCTCCCCTTGTCTCCCCGCCTGGCTCGGGCACAGGGAAGCAGGTGGCATCCAGTTGGGAGGGGTGGCCCTGCGGTCCAGGGAGGGTACTGGTAGATGGAAGCCTGTGAGGGGTGACCTTGTCCCAGGAAGGCAGGACTCTACCTGGTGGCCTTGTCTGGGGGAGGACGTGGGAGTCTCCCAGGGCACATTGGGGCAGCATGGCTGTGTCACTCAGCCTCTCAGAGCCTGGCCTCATGGTGACATCCAGGGCAGGAGGCCACTCCTTGGCTACTGTCTGGGGCCAGTAGCAAGGACAAGTGACCAGGCGACAACATGGTTCCTCTAGGGGCCAGGGCAGAATCTGACACCTTAGCTGGTGTTTTCCTTGGGGTCAGGTGAACGGGATCCCCTGGGCCAGGGCCTGAGCACCCCCAAAGACAACTGCTACGTGGTCACTCCCAGCACACCCTCTCCTATGTGTCCAGCCATTTTTAGTACACTGTTCCGGGTCACAGCTGGAACTTGTTTCCAATCCCAATCCCATCACCAGTTGCTGCTACCCTGCTCAGAGGGGACCCTGGGGCAAGGCTGGAATGGACCTGGACTCAGCCCAGGACCTGGGAGCCAGCCCGCCCCCCAGGCAGGGGTGGGGCCCGGTGACCAGCTGAGGAGGTGGCCACCTTCTGGCTGCGCTTGAGCCCCCTTGTCTCCATGTGTCCCCCCTTGCAGTGCATTTCCGCTATGTGGTATTCCACCCGTTCCTGGACGAGATTCTGATCGGGAAGATCAAGGGCTGCAGTCCTGAAGGGGTGCACGGTAAGTGGGGACCCCGCCCCGGGCCGGGCAGGACCAGAGGGCTGGATCAGCCTCACAGGCTGTCACTCAGCTCCTCAGGTGGCCACTGGAGCCGGTGGAGGGGACTGGGTGCTTGGTGTCCCCGTCTGAGGTTTTGGGGTGCAGGTGCCTGGGGTTTTTGCAGGGCTGCTCAGGCTGGGGTAGGCACTGCCAGGGGCTCTGCGGCTGGAAGGGGACATCTGTCCCGCAGCAGCATGGAGGAAGGACCTGAGGGCCCAGGCCCTGTCACCACCTTTTCTTCCAGTCTCCCTAGGGTTCTTCGATGACATCCTCATTCCCCCGGAGTCCCTGCAGCAGCCTGCCAAGTTGTATCCTCCCATGGGCAGAGAGCCCGAGTCACTCCGGCCTGTTAGGGGGACCGTCCCACTGCCACAGTGACTCTGTGCCCGCCCCCACTGTGGGGGGGCCTCTGCTCACGCTGACCTGGTGTCCTTGTCCCTGTGCCTGTCTGGGTGGCAGAGTCGAGTACTGAGCACCACAGGTCCCTTCCAGCATCCTTTGCTCCTGCTGGCCCTGAGGGGTCACCACAAAGATTTCCAGGGTTACCCTGCTGCTGAGCTCCGCAGGAGGGGAACGTGCCAGGGCTGGGCTGGGCTGGGCTGGGTTTCTCTCTCTGGCCTGGCTGTCCCCATCCCAGCCCTCCTTGCTGTCTCTAATCTGAGACATCACCCCTGCGCTGCAGCGGCCAGTGGGGCCCTGTGGCGGGACTGCCATTACAGAGCAGTATGGCTCTGGCTGTGCGCGGGTAGGGGTGGGCGCCTCCATCTGGCAAGCCAAGAGCAGGGCCTACGGAATTTGCCAGGAGTCCGGTGACCCCCAGCCCACCGGTTCCGCCTGCTCAGACTGGGGGCAGCCTCCCTCCCAGGGTGGGTGCTTGGGTGGACTCTGGAGGCCCTGACTCCAGGTCTGGTTGCACCTTGACCCTGGCCCCAGCGACGAGGCGGAGCAGGTGTGGGTGTGGGAGTACGAGACAGAGGAGGGAGCGCATGACCTGTACATGGACACAGGCGAGGAGATCCGCTTCCGGGTGGTGGACGAGAGCTTCGTGGACACCTCGCCCACGGGGCCCAGGTCAGCTGAGGCTGCTGCTACCAGCGAGGAGCCGCCCAGGAAAGAGGCCCCTTACTCGCTTGTGGTGAGAGCCCCATGTGTGTGCAGGGAAGAGGGGGGCGGGAGAGTGCACTCAGGCAGGCCCTTTAACCTCTGAGCCCAGATCCCTCTTGTGTGGTCCTGGCCTGAAACTGAGGCCAGAATGCCTGGGTTTCTGCAGGGCGGGACCACAGGGTAACAGCTGCCATGGAGATGGGTGGGGAGCCAGTCCCCTATGTGAATGCAGAGACACTGCTAGGTGAGGTCCCAAGGGGCTTCACTGTTTTGATGGTACTAGCAATTGACCTCAGGGCATTTGCACTGAGCTAACTGCCAGCCCTTTTTTATTGAGACTGAGTTTGTGTGCAAGCCTTAAGCTTACAGTGATTCTACCTCAGTCTTATAGTGTAAAACATGGATGTTGTCTTCCTGGCAGGGGTCCATTATCGAGCCTGGGCTGGGCCTCCTCTCTTGGTGGACCAATAGCTAACCTGTCCTGGGCTCCAGCGACCAGCAGTGGACCAGATGCTGAAGAGTCTGTGCTCCTGAGCTGGCCTGGGTGAGACACAGAGCACTGCCAGCTCGCCTGCCCCACCAACCTGCCCTGATCCTCCCAGAGTGATGCCCTAGAAGTCCTGCTATCCCACAGGCTTTATTTTTGCAGCCTTGGGGATTGGATGCTGGCATGTGCTCTACCACTGAGCTCCGTCCCTGCCCTTTTTGAGATGGTCTGACTGTGTAACTGCCCAAGATAGTCTCAACCTGAGATCCTTCTGCCTCAGCCTCTGAGTAGCTGGGATTACAGGCAGAGACATTAATGGCAGCATCAGCAAGAAAGGGCCATACTCCTTTGTCTCAACAGCCAGTACCATGACCTAAGGTCAGTAAATGAACTGCCGCGCTGGACCACATCCCTTTTGCAAATGACCACCAACCCCACAAAGTGTTGGCAGGAACATAAAGAGCACCCCCTCTGCTCAGCATTTGGGAGGTGGTCACCCGAAGTCAGCCAGCACACTGGACCTGAGGGTGAGACTGTGGGGTTTGCAGGCCCGGAGCACAGCAGGGATCACATGGAGCACACTGATGCCTGGGCAGGGGACAGGAGGTGGCGGCTCCTTCCCACCAGGGAAGCCACACCGTGCCAACACACCAGCAACTCTGGAGCAGACCACAAACAGCAGACACCACGCGTACAGGAGCAGTCCATGATATTTTTCTTGCAAGAACAAAAGGTTCTCTGGGCTCCTGGAGCCGCCAGTCAGATGGTCAGGCAGAATAAAAACTGCAGAGGGGAGTGTCATCCTGTCCTCGAAAATAAATATGGTCGCGCAGGGCCACCCTAGGTGGGAACCAGACTGAAGGCGGGACAGCAGGGCTGTGCCGGGGAGGTGCAGTGGGCGGGCAGGGGGTCTGGAGGCGCCATGGGGAGCAGGAAGCCTGGTGCCCTGGCCGGCGAGGCCACCGCTGGTGAGGCCATGGCTGGCGGTGGCAGCCTCACTGCTGCAGCTCCTTCATCCTGTTGAGGGCGCTACCCGCGCGGAACCACTCAATCTGGGTCTCGTTGAAGGTGTGGTTCAGCAGGATGGTCTCCTGTGTCCCGTTGGGGTGCTTGATGATGCACGTGAGGGGCTGCAGGGGGAGGCAGGTATGGGTGGGGAGCAGTGGGGATCCCTCATAAGCAGGGGTGCCCACCCAGCGGGGAGCCCCCTCACCTTGCCAGGGGCGAAGTCCCGCAGGCCCTGAATGGTCAGCTTGTCCACAGGGTGGATCTTGTTGTAGTCGGCAGGGTCGGCAAAGGTGAGGGGCAGCAGGCCCTGCTTCTTCAAGTTGGTTTCTGAAGGGAGAGGGTCACTCAGTCAAGAGGGTGTCATTGCCACCCTTGCCTGGGGAGCTGCCCTTTCTAACTGATGGGCTGGGACAGGGGACAGGCAGTGGCTCCTGGGCCTGTGTCACAGGGGCATCAGCACAGGTGTCTGGGCCATGCTGGTAGACAGGGCCACAAGGGGAACAATTCAGTTGAGCAGCCTGGCTTTCAGTGGCACAGGTCTGAGTTTCAAGCAGGAGCTGTGTGGCTGTGCCACCATGAGCAGCAGGAAGCTGTGAAGGGTCTGGGGTGGCCAAGGCAGGGCGGCTGACCAGGGCTGTGACAGAGGGGTAGGGGACACAGCCGTGGGGGCTTGGCTCACCATGGATCCTGGCAAAGCTCTTGGTGATGATGGCCCGGCCCCCAAGGTGGCGCGGCTCCAAGGCCGCATGTTCCCGGCTCGAGCCCTCGCCGTAGTTCTCATCACCGACCACCACCCACCGGATGCCATGTTTCTGTGACAAGCGGTGACAAGGTCACAAGACTGAGGGCACCGTGCTTGCCTGCCCAGTACCCTCCAGCCTGGGCCCTGGCTTCCAAAGTTGGTGAATCAGGCCCGACCAGGCACCTCGGGGAAAGGCGCGCTGGTGTGGCCCCGGCTGCCTGTGTGCCTGAAGGAGGCAGGGACTCGGGCCACTGTGGGACAGAGTGGTGGGGGACGCTGCAAATGGTGTCACTTCCGGGTGGTCCTGGGCCGGGCCTGTCCTTGCCCTGATAGCTGCAGGCCGCTCCTGGCCCCCACTCCTCTGGCCTACCTTGTAGTATCGGGCAGTGTCTGGGACAGGGCCAAACTCCTGCGTGACAGCGTTGCGCACAGAGTTGGCCTTGCCATTCTCGATGTTGATGGCGCCAATGAGCAGATTGTTGGATATGTTGTCCAGGTGACCACGGAATTTGAGCCAGGGGCCTGCAGCCGAGATGTGGTCGGTGGTGCACTTCCCTTTGACCTAAGGGGGTGGGCAGAGGACAGTGGTCAGTAGGTGGCCCCTTGCTGGGACCTGGGGGCAGGGGATGGTGACAAAGGAAACACATGAGGCTCTCTGGACCACCGACCTGCAGTCCAAAGGCTCACACAGAGGCTTGGGCTTCTCAGTGTCCAGGGCAGGACAAGGACAAGTAAAACTCCAGGCTGGGCCCTGAACTAAGCCACCCAGCATGGAGGATGAGGCCTCCTGCTGGCCAGAGAAGGGAGGCAGGGACACAGAGTGCCCCTGTGCAGGCTGACAAGTCTCGCATTGCCTGGGCTTAACCTGGGCCGTGTCACAGCAGGTCCTGGGAGCCCTGACGGCTCATACAGGTCCTGTTCCCAGGCCACTGAGTGCCCGCAGGCCCCACTGACCTTGATGAGGATCTGCAGGTCTTCCAGGTCTTTGCCGTCCCACTTGTCAAAGGGCTCCAGGAGCTGCAGGCGCTGGCTGGTGGGGCTCACGTCCACCCGCTGCCCGCTGCTGTCCTTGGGGGGGTGCTGGTAGGTGTCTTGCCCTGGGTCAAACTCCTGCAGCAGGGGATTGGGACAGGTCAGATGCCCGAGGCCTCGGTCCCTATGGGAACAGATCTAAGGGGGAGAGAGCTGCCCACACCCCAAGTGCCCTCTCTTTTTTAAATTTTGTCTTTCTTGAGACAGGGTCTCGCTATGCAGTTCAGGCTGGCCTTGAGCTCACTTTGTAGCCCAGGCTGGACTGGAACTCGAAATGATCCTCCTACCTCAGCCTCCCAAGTGCTGGGATTGTAGGCGTAAGCCACCACGCCTAGCTAAAGTCCCTCTCTTGAGGCAGAGCAGCCCATGGAAAGTAGTCTCTGCGGGCCAGGGAGGTGCAACTGCGCGGGTGCTGGGCAGGAAGCGCCTGGATGCCCAGCGGGCAGGCCCCACTCACCCCTCGGGGCAGCTCATCTGCGTCCGGAGCCTCCAGCTTGAACTTCTTCCCGTCCTTGCCTGTCAGGAAGTCGGTTTCTGGGTTGAACTTGAGGGTTCCTGCGATGGCCAGGGCTGTGACGATCTGGAGAGGAGGCCAGTTCCCCCAGTCAGCACCAAACACCCCACCTTCCCCTCAACAGACAGAGTGCCCCCAGGCCCTTGCCCTTCTGCTTGGGGGCGGAACTCAGGGGCCCCAGAGCTACTGCTGTGTCTCCTCCAGGCCCAGCTGGCACAGAAGCGCTCGTGACAGGGATGTCTCTGCTGGGCAGTACAGAGTGTGCAGAAAGCACGAGGACTTGGGAGTGCACCCCAAACTGGTGCAGGTGACAGAAGAGGGAGGCCACCGAGGGCCAGGAGCACTTCAACTTGCTCTGTGCCTCCAGTGACAGCACCCCCAACTTTTACTCAACTTAGGGACAAGCTGGGCATGGGAGTGCATAGCCCAAGTTACTTGGAAGCTGAGGCTGGAAAGTCACTGAAGCCCGGAGGACTAAAAAACCCCATGAAGCCGGGAGTGGCAGGACATGCCTGTGAGCCTGGGATCTCGGGACTCCGAGAGGCTGAGGCAGGAAGAACACGAGTTTGAGCTTAGCCTGGGCAGTTTAGCAACTTGGCGAGTCCCTGTCTCAAAAAAATAGCTGGGACTGTAACCCTGGGTTCAATCTCTGGGGAAGGTGGCCTATAAGTGTGATCCTAGCACTTGAGGGGTTGGGGTAGGGGGACTGCCACAAATTCAAGGCCCGCCTGGACTACACAGCAAAACCTTGTCTCAAAAAAAGGAAGAGAAAAGGAAGAAGAAAAATTTCGAGTAAGCAAGCATGCTACAGACATGTAACCCTGCCCGCTGGACCCGAGACTCACGGTCAGGACCTGACCACGCTCATGCAGCTGCTGGGACTACAGAAAGGCTGGCATCTGTCCCTGGAGTAAGAGTCCTTACTTCCTGCTTGTACCCACTAACTGCTCAATGAACATCTGGGCACCTGGTGACTCAAGGGAGGGCTGGGCAGGGAGCACCAAGGCAGCCCCAGCCCTCCCAGGGAGCCTGGGAGCTCGCACTCCTCTGACACCCAGGAGTGGGCTTCGAGGGTCCCCGGCTACACCCAGCCAGGTGGCCCCACCTCTGGGGACGTGACGAAGGCGTGGGTCTCTGGGTTTGCATCATTGCGGCCTGTGAAGTTCCTGTTGTAGGAGGTGACGATTGTGTTCTTCTCTCCCTTCTTGATGTCCTTCCTGTCAGGCCAGGAGGACAAGTTTAGGGACAGCTGGCCTTGTCACCTGGCTGGTCTCAAGACCAGATGGGCCAGGTTCTTGAGGCACATGCCCAGCTGGCAATCGAGAACAGAACTGGACCTCCCTAAGACCCGTAACAGCGCAGTAGCAGACCCCAGGTCGCCAGGGCTGTGTGACCACGGAGGACAGAGGCAGAGCCCACTTCTCCTGACCCGAGTGGCAGCCCCCTCAGAGCCCCTGGCTGTGGCCATCAGGATGTGAACTCATGGCTTCTCCCCACAGCCAGGCTCCTCCTGTCCTTGTCATCCACTGGCCGCCCCCACCCCACCCCCTGCAGATCTTCAGCAGTCGCTGGGGCCTTGACTCGGATCTCTTCTCTGTCCCAGTGATGCCTCCCTCAGCCTCTGGGGCTCCACACTCCAGCACGCAGGGGCTGTGCCAGTCAGAGGTGCTGCTCACCTGTCCCACTGGCCAATGCAAGGGCCACAGGCATTGGCCAGGACGATGCCGCCCACTTCCCTCAGGATCTGAGCCTGTGGCAGGAGAGACAGGGCTGTGGGGCAGGGAAAGGTGGCTAGCCGGGGGCCAGCAGCCACCTTACTCGGTAGCATTAGCTGCGGGCAGGGCAGGGTGGGGCAGGTAAGCACTCACGTAGCCGTCCCGCTCGATGGTGGCACGGATCTGCTCTGAGCCTGGGGTGATGGTGAATTGGGACTTGCACTTAAGTCCATGGGCCAATGCCTGTTTGGCCACAGCTGCCGAGCGCCCCATGTCCTCATAGCTCGAATTGGTACAGCTGCCGATGAGACCTGGTGCATTGTGGGAGGTGGGGTCAGGGTCCTGAGGAGGCAGTGACCAGAGGCCTCATCTGCCCTCAATCCCAGATCTGGTTCATGTTCACCAACCGAGGTGGGGCAGAGACTGTTAGTAACAGAGATAAGCTAGAAGCAGCCTACGTGTCCAGCAGTAAAGGACCAGGTGCTCACGAAATAGCCTGAACAGCGAGGCCGCCGACCAACACTGAACAGTGTTGTGCCAGGAGCACAGTCCACGTGTGCACCTGAGGCTAACGAGTGGGCTGACCTGACAGGTTAGCTGCTGCTTTTCTACATATTTTCTGTTTCTTCCCATCGAACCACGTCCCCAGCCTTCTTTTATTTTTCGGAGATAAGGTCATGGTGAACTGTCAAAGCTGGGCTCAAACCTGTGACCCAGGATCCTGCCTCAGCCTCAGAGTGCTGGGATTGCCTGGCTTTACAAGTTTGAAAACTCTTCCTGTTAGTGTTTGATACAATAAGCATGTATTTCTTTTATACCAAGAAAAGGTTATTATTATTATTATTTTTGTCTTTTTCATTTTTATTAGTACCAGGGAGCGAACTCACGACTGCCTGCTTGCAAGGCAGGCGCTTAAGCTGCTGAGCTAAATCCCCAGCCCCGATAAGGTTATTTTTTTAGTGGCCCCACTGTAGAAAGTGCCTGCTTAGGAAGTGGCACAGAGCAGAGGGCACTGCCCAGGGTGCTGGCAGCTGGCGCGGCATGAGGCACTTACCCACTCGGATGTCCAGGGGCCACCCTTCCTTCTCCGCCACAGCACCCACGTCTGCCACAGGGTGAGCCAGGTCGGGTGTGAAGGGCCCGTTGATGTGTGGTTTCAGCTGAAAAGACACGGATGCAAGGAGCCCGCGGAGCGGTGGGAACAAGTGCTGGTGCGAGCTGAGCCCGGCCTCTGTTCTCGCCTCCCAGGTCCCACAGGCAGGCTGCTGCCCAGCCTAGCGGCTCAGACCTCATCCACTAACTCGCAGGAGCTGCACTGCTGCTGTGGTCTCTCAATGAGCCCAGGCTTTTGGCCAGGCGCTTCCCACGTGTGGACCCTCGTTAATATAGTGTAAGGCTCTGTGCTTGGCACACAGCAAACAAGCGACTGTCACCACACAACCCACCACTGCCGCTGCGTCACCCACAGCCAAGGGAGGCTCGTTCAGTGGCACCCCACCCCGCCTGTGTCCTCGGATCCTCCCAGTGCCTCCCCAGCGGGCGGCCTAGGATGCCAAACCCTATAGGCCTTGCTTCACCTCTGATGATGAGACAAAGCTCGAGTGAAATCCTGGCCTCCACTAAACCTGGGGGAAGTCGAACTGCTACCCATTTCTGACTTGCCAGCCACAGCCTCCTCCACTGTCCCCTGGGTTGGAATCACACCTCCCCCACCCTGTCAGGGGCCCTGAGAACCAAGAGCCAGGCAGGACTTGCACCAGCTTCTGATCCCAAGGAAGCAGTGTCCCCCCCCTGCTTAGGAGCCCCCCCAAATCTGGGGTCCTTCCTCACCTCGTTGAGGTTAATCTCAATCAGCTGGTCGTACTGGCAGCCAGGGTCAGGTACCAAGTGGTCCTTGAATTCATCAGCAAGACTGGCAATGTCTGCAGTCCGCAAGGGCGGGAGTGAGGCACAGGAAGTGGACACCAGTGCTGAGCCCCCAGACACGTGGGTAGCAACCTGGCACCCACCATGCACTGACTGCACCAGGACACTGCCCCTGCCTTCAAGGAGTCACAGCCTGGGGAAGGGGCTGGCAGTCAGCCCACAGTGACGCCAGGACAGGAGCTGCTCAGGAACACAGTTAAATGGGGGAGGCAGGGACTGAGGTGGTGTCAGGTGGGGCTCCCTGCACCAGGCGCAGTGCTTGGAAGCTTTGACCTGCACGCCCTGCCTTCCAGCGCTGGAGCCTGTGTCCTCCTCAGAGCATCAGGCCCAAGGGAGCTGAGGGTGGGCAGCAGGGGAGAGGTTTGGTTCACCCTAGGGCAGTGGGTACACAGAAGAGAACGCTGCCATTTCTGGAGCTTCCTGCAGGGGGCACTGGGGACCAGGCCACTGCAGTCACCCAGCTCAGAAACAGCAGCCAGGCCTAACTTATCAGGGCTTCTGACGCTGGTCAGGTCACACCAGGTTAAGGACTCTGCTCTAAAGGGATTCTGCTCTAGAGGGACTGGGAGGGCCAGGGACATAGCTCAGCGGCATAAACCCTGCCTGGCAAGCGCAGGGTTCTGAGTTCAAGTCCCAGTACCTAAATAAATAAATAAAAGGGCCAGAGGCAGCTTCCTCCTGAGGCAGGACATAGCATGAGTGTCCTGTCCACCATGCTGTGGCCCCTCCAGCTCACCTGCCCGGCCTGTCTTGCTCAGGTACTTCTTCATCCTGTGGTTGTATGGGAACACTGAAGTGGTGGCCCCGATTTCAGCACCCATGTTGCAGATGGTTGCCATGCCTAGGAGAAACAGGGCCTGAGGCCTGGCTGGGCTGGGGTCCCAACCGCCTCCACACACTGGGGAACAGCAGAGGTTTCTCCCTGCTCACGGGGCTCCTAGTGGCAGGGACCCTCATTCCTGAGGGCGAGGGCAGTGTGTGTGTGGCTCGCCTGAGACCTGGCTATCTTGCTGGGCAGTGGTGACTGCCACCATGTACTGAAGAGCCACTATGTACTGAAGACTGGACTGGCCAAACACTGGCCAGCTGTTACTGTGTACATTTCACAGACAAGGGACCTGGCTCAGGGTTCAAGGTCATGCTGTGTACATTTCACAGACAAGGGACCTGGCTCAGGGTTCAAGGTCATGCAGAAAGCAAATAAAAGCTGGTGCTGGGCTCAGATCTAAATCTGCCTGCCCTCCTGCACTCACACCCCGGTGCTATGCAGACGTTCTCCTGAATTCCAGTAGTAAGAATGGACACGCTGGGATGGTGCCTATACCATCAGCGGAGACAGAGGCGAGACCCCATCTCAAAGAAAATAAATAAAGGCTGGGTGTCTCGTGCTATTTGTGAACTGACGGCTCACTGGCGGCTCCCAGCCCAGGCCCATTACCGGTCTCCCAGCCAAGCGATGCCTCAGTGGCAGAGGGAGGGGCTGAAGGGAGCTGAGGTGGCACCTGGGAAGCCTGGCCCGGCCAGGGCTGAGCCCTATTTTGAGCCTCCTGCATTTCCAAGGGTGCAGGTAGCATGGACACCAGGTCCTAGGCTCACACCTGGTTTTGGAGGCTACTGGGCAAAATCTCTATCCCACAGGAAGCAAGCAAGGCTCTGCCACCAGCTAAAGGAAGACACAGGGCTCAGTCACTCTGTGGATGAAGCTGGTGCTGAGTGACCGTCCCCCCTCCCACCTCCATCCTCTCTAGAGTTTCACCCACATGGCCCACTGCTTGGCCAGGACCCCAACACAGAAACTTCCTGGCACCTTGGGACGGGTCCTGATCACTCTGTCAGATCACTGAGGGACCTGCACTAGACAGTGTCTAGGGCCATCCATCCAATAGGAGCATCCCTAACCCCACGCTGCGGGACACTTTTCCAGAGAAGCCTAGCTGGCCCAAGCAGGATGAGGGCTGCGAGGTAAGTGCCCCCTCACCAGTGCAGGAGATGGAGTCAACACCGGGCCCATGGTACTCCACAATGGCGCCTGTGCCACCTTTCACTGTGAGGATGCCTGCCACCTTCAGGATCACATCTTTGGGTGAGGTCCAACCGGACAGGGAGCCTGTCAGCTTCACTCCGATCACCTGTGAAGTGGAAGGCGAGACGATGGTTCCAAGCAGGAAGTCTGGGAATTGAGCTGCTGGCCTCCCCTCTCTGCTCATTTGTCCCTGCCTCCCTCCCCAAGGAATTCAAGCCCGACCCACTTCCCTGGCTCCAGCATAAGTCCTTCCCTGCCCCTCACCTTGGGACACTTCAGCTCCCAGGGGATCCCAGCCATGACGTCCACGGCATCGGCACCCCCGACCCCAATGCAGATGCCACCCAGGCCACCGCCATTAGGGGTATGGGAGTCAGTGCCGATGAGAAGAACCCCAGGGTAAGCGTAGTTTTCCAGAATGATCTGAAAAAGAATCGAGATCATCAGCCTCAGTAGAGAATGGAGGTGGAACCAAAGGAGTCCACCAAGCTGCCCCCACTCCCAGGGCTGCCCTCGGGCGGGTAGGGTAGGGAGCTAGCTCAGTGAGCCAGGAGGAGCTGCTCTTTGGATGTAGGCGGCTGGGGCTCATGAGTAGCTCTGACGGTTCCTGTGTTGCTCGGCCTGTACCTGCCTCCCCATGCCTCAGTTTCCAGTCTGTGCTATAGTCTAAACACACTCATGCCACCCTAACCCCAGGAGGCGAGAGCCAGATAAACCGGCATATAAGCATGCCCTGGCTCCAGGAGCTCCTGGGGTGGCAGTGTGCCTACATGGCTGCTCATTGCAGGACAATTCCATCAGGAGCTAGCTGCAGTCCACACAGTACAGCTAAGGAGGTTCCAGGTGCAGAGCCATCAGTCTCTCCACTGCTCAGCCAGGAGATATGTGCGCCTCCCTTCCCTGCCCTGACACCCTGGAGGTGACTGAGGACTGAAGCGACACTTGTGGAAAGGTGCCAACCTGCATGTTTTGTTTCCCAGTGTTGCCTGCACCTGGACACTCCTAGCTGGGAAGTCCCTGGATTGGGCGATCCCCCAGAACACCTAGTGAGAAAGTGGCAGGGTGCAGGTCAGCACCCACCTGCAGCCCTGCCCCTGCCCAGGCCCTGAGGTGCTTCCCTCTTGGGATGGTCCCTGGGCCAGGCACCACATCATTGGGGCCCCTCCCCTACTAGCCGCTGTGGGGCCTTGGCAATCACTTCACCCCTCCCCTCCAGGCTTCAGGCTCCTCTTCTGACAAGTATCACCTCTCAGATCCCTGGGATGACTCTGCAGATCGTATATACCCAGCAGGCACCATAGCAGGGTGGGGCGCTTTACTACTTCACAGCAAGAGCCTCCACTCTAGGCTATGCCCTGGAGCAGATGGCATCACGCCCACCCTTGGGTGCCGGGAGGACCAGAGATGTGAAAGGCTCCGAGGAGGAGCACGGTGAGGCTCCCAAACACTACAGACACCATGGCCTCGGCCTTGCTGTGCCGAGACTCAGCAAAGGCTCAGCCCCTCACCCTTGGTGATGCGAAGACTGAAGATGCAGCTCCTTCCAGCCCCAGCCGGCAGCCAGCTGGGAAGAACAGGCCAACCCTGCTTCACCAGTCCATCTGTCTGCCCCGCCCCTGCCCCAGCCATGTACAGAGACGCGAACTATGGACAGGATTCAAAGTGGGCCGCGTGGTGTAGACAGGATGTGGCCCACATCAGGAGGGGAGAGGTTACAGAGCCATCAACTGTGGAAAGTGTCACGACGAAGTGGATTGGGACAGTGGCCTCAGTGCTCCCGGGATTTGGCTGGGTGGATGGGGTGACGGTAGACAAACATGAAAAATATGTAACTGTAAACTCAGCCATCTATTCACACAACACACATGCATGCCAGTCTGTCCCCAGCCAGGCCCAGGCCAAAGCTAGACATGAACGAAGGCATCACAATCCCTGCCCCATGGAGCCCACAGGGCAGGGAAAAAGCACTAGGGATGCAACTGTGGACAGAACTCCAGAGCTCAGGGAGTTGCAAGGGGGAGGCCCTGCCGCAGGGCACAGGCAGGGCCAGGGGTCACAGGAAGCAGAAAGCTGAGACTCGGAGTAGCAGGTCGGCTGGGCCAGCCGGAAGGGCTGGGTTTGGTGGGATGAAGGGCACAGAGGGGAGGGCACGGTCCCTGGGGGAGTACCCCTGTTCAGGGACAGATATGCCAGGCTGAACACTTTGCAGGTGACGCAGCGTGGGTGTAAATCACTGTCACAGCCCTAACTGTGGCCTAAGAGCTGCCAAGAAAGTCTTGGGATACTGGGATTGACTGGGGCACCCTTCCTAACCGGAGGCCAAATTCAGGCCCACCCGCCTCACTTCCTGCTGCAGTGCTCTCTGGCCTCAGGCTGGCGTGTGTGACCTGCCACCCTGGCAGCTCTATCCTGGCAAGGGCAATGGCATAAAAGGGCAGTGTGCTGATCCCTTGTTGGCTCCGGTTTCAGAGTGGGGCAGAGCTAAGGCCCCAGGAAAGGTCAGATGACAGCCTGACTCAGCGCGTCTGGAAGTGAGGCCCCGGATGGAGGCGGAAGATGATGACCTTGGAAAGGGGCAGAGCAGGCTCCAGCAGTGGGCATGGACGCTAAGTGGGCCAGATCCATCGGTTCATGTCTTCAACAGTCACCTCTGACAGGAGTGAAGCACCTACCCCACCGAAACACACGCATTTATGGAGACAAAACTGTCTACCAAAGGAAACCCCTTCCGTGGGGACCCCGGAACTCTTGGTGGCCACAGCCTGTGAGCCTCTGGCTTACAGGATCCCATGAAGTGGCCTAGGGGAATCAGAGCCATGTTCCACGCACAGCAAGAAGGGGACGGCATAGACACGTGCTCCAGGCTGCACGCCCTGCCTCCTCAGGACATAAGCTGACCTCCCTGGCACAGGCGCTCGCCTCTCTGCCTCAGTTCTTGGTGAGGTGTGGATCATAACACCACCACCCTCACAGGGTTATGGTGAGGCCTGGATAGTTGGTGACACACAAGGCGCCCACCCGATGCCAGTCACCCACGCAGAGGAAACAACACAAGAATACCTCGAGAGGGTGCTGCACATGGAACTTCCTCCCCTGTGCCAGACACAGTAAAAATAATTGATGTTCTAAGAAGATGCAGAAAGCAGAATGTCAGACTATAAAATGCAGGAGTATGCTGCAGGGTAGAGCACTCATGTAGGGTGTGAGGTTCTGGGTTCAATCTCCAACCTCAGGATAAAAAAAAGTGAACTTAACTTGAATAGTTAAAAGGGATTGTTTCCATTTTTCTTTTTCTATTTATTTAGTCTTTTTGAGACAGGGCTTTGCTATTAAGTTCAAGCTGGCCTTGAACTCACTTTGAAGCCCGGGCTGGCCTAGAACTTATAGCAATCCTCCTGCCTCAGCCTCCTGAGAGCTGGGATTACAGGTGTGAGCCACCGCGCCCGGCTGTTTTCACTTTTCACATGGAGAACAGGAATGTATAAACTGACATCATAAAAACTAATTTACAATCCAATGAGGTAAAGTCCAAGAGCTGGCATGAGATGTCCTCCTGAACCCTCCTGGCCTCAAGTCCCGGGCCTCTCTCTGCAGGCTTGGAAGTTGCTCTCTGGTCACTGGCGCCACCCAGCCCTACTTACCTGGTGAATGATTCCGGACCCAGGCCTCCAGAATCCCACACCATATTTGGCACCTGCAGTTGCCAGGAAATTGTATACTTCTTGGTTTATGTCCTACGAAGACAAATCCATAACTGGAGCATTAGTGACAGTTTGCACTCGGGTGACCCTTGCACACTCTTCTCTACACCCCACCATGGTTCATAAAGGCTGTCGCTGGGAAGACAGGTTTCTTCTGGAGGCCTTCAAAGCATAATTTTGGAGGGCAGGGCTGCTGGCCACGCCTCAGCTCACAGCCCAGGAAGGAAGACAGGAGCAGAGAGTCTGGCTCTGTGACACTGCCCAGGGGGCAGGTCTCTGGGTCTCAGTCTCCTTACTTGCTTCAGGAGCTGGACTAACCAACTGCCAACTCCCCCACTGGCAAGCCTGTCCCCAGGCAAGGCCGGCAGTGAAGAGGCCACCACGGCAGCACCAACCGGCCAGGTCAGGTGTTGAAGGAACAAGGCGACACCCCAGTCTCACTGGCTCGCACAGGAGCTGCTTCTCTACCTGGGCCTCCACTGCCTCATCTGTGAGTCCAGATGACACTCCCTGAATGCCTGCTACTGACACCGCATCAGGTGAGGGGGCAGCAGAGAGTCATCAAGTCCACTCAACAGATGTCAGAGACCCAAGAGTGACAGGAACCAGGCTGGAAACCAGACCTTTCCCTGCAGGTGACAGCCTGACAGGACAGAGCTGCAGTTGTTGGGAGGACGGAGCCTCCCTCAGAGAGCGCCCTGCCCAGGTCGGCCTGCTGCAGGGGCTCCTTCTTGGGAGCATCTGATGGCCCTGTGTCTGATGGCTGGTGAAGGCTGTTACTGCCTAGAAGAGCATGGGGGGGGGGCTGCATCCATCATCTGTCATCTGAAGGCAGCTTCCTTGGGGTAGGAAGATGATGTGGGACAAGGCCTTCTCTGAAGACCTGGCATTCCTAGGACAAGGGAGGTGACTCTGACGACAGGGCTGGCACCAAGTGGGTCCAGTGTCTCAAAGGAGTAACTAGGAGAGGAGACCTGTCAACCCCAGGAAGGGAGAGGCAGCCTCATGACAGAGAAAGGGGCCCTCTCAGCCCCACGGGCCCCCGATGAATGATCTCAGAGCTGCACTGGCACCTTCTTGAGGGCCCACTGGGTCACCTAGGTAAGAGAATGGGACCCCAGCGATGCCTCTTCCCAATTAGTAACAGCCTGGCCTTTTCACTTCCAAACCAGTCACCTGTGAATTAGGACAGAGTGGGCCCATGAGCACATGTCTGTAAGAACAGAGGGGACAGGGACACCACCCCGAAGTGGCACCGCAGAACCTCCCTCCACCTGAGCTCAGCCTGGATCCTTTTCTGAACATGGCACTAGAGCGGCTGCCCTGCCTCTCTGCGTCCCAGCCAGAGACTGTTTCCAAATCCATGCGACACTGGGCCCTGCTCAAAGCCTGCTATCGTTCACACAAATGCAAAGGCTACTATCCTGGTATCATGAGTCAGTTGTGCTTGTCCTGTTCAGCAGCAGGCCCGCCTGCTCACTCCCTATCACAACACAGTCCCACCAGATGCTGCAGTGTCTACTGTGCGATCCTCCCACCTGTAGAGGTCAGGCAGAAACACCCCTCCTGGACTCCTATTGCAGTGCAGAGGCCTAAAGGCCCTGCGTCCTTAGACCCCGCCCAGGACCATCCAGGTCCACGCAGAGCTCACACCTGACGTGCCCCCACTTCACCAAACACAAGCAACATATTTCTTCCTGCCCTGGGGCCTCTGCAGACACTGTTTGGGGTAGAAAGTTGTCACTGCAGTTAAGCTCCTCAGGACCTCAGCTGGTCACAGTCTTTCCGCTTCCAACTGTACCGGTGTATTCGGTTTTTGGGACCAGATCTGGCTGTGCATTCCAGTCTGGTCTGAAATTCACTGTGCAGCCCAGGCTGGCCTTGTTCTCATGGCGCTCCTCCTACCTCAGCCTCCTGAGGGCTGGGACTGGGGGCATGGGCCACCATGCCTGGCTCCCGTCCAAAGTGTTCGCCACACCTCTTTCTCACGCTCTCAGTCCTGCACATTCTCCTCCTAAACACACCAAAGCTGTGATTACCAGTTCTGTAACTGTTCCACATCCACCTCCCTACTAGACTTAACTAAGGTCCTCGAAGCTGGAGCCATCTGTCCTGCCCGCACTGAGCCCAAGCATCCAGCACAGCACATGCAGTACAAGAAAATTGCAGGAGACACTTAATGAACAAAGGAATGAGCCCTGACATCCTGTTTCCTGTGACTCTCACCTCCAACAAGTAGATTCTGACCCACAAAGCAAGGGTGGCCCCACAGGGTGGTGGCCCTGCTGTGGGAAGCTGAGTGAGCCCAGCAGGGCTGACGGCCTGGGACTCATGGCCTTGAACAGCTCCAGTCCCCCGGGACATTATGTAACACCACCACCCGCTGTGCCACTGCAGCTGAGGCTGCAGTCAGCAGGCCAGGACCACCCTTCAGTTGGGCAGAAAGAGCCACTGTGCAGCCAGGATGCACGGTGGGTAGCCAGGGCAGCAGAAAGGGCCCAACAGAAAGGTGGCCAGAGTGGTTCCCAGGGGCCCAGAGGCTCTGCAGACTGGGCTGGCCATGGGAATGGGGCACTTTCAGTCACAGCCTGTGCCCTGTGCCAACATTCAGCTCCTGCCAACAGCAGCCTGGGGTCCTGCTCCCACTGCAAGGGGGAAGGCCTGGCGCTGGGCGAGAACTGCTGCCGCCTAGAGCAACACACAGCTCCGCACTCCAGGTCTGGGAGCAGCAGCAGCAGCAGCGTTAAACAACACATGGCAGCTCGTGCTGACAGCAACACTCAGAGAAGGTCCCAAACGAGAACTGCACGGCTGGGCTGGGGTCAGGGTTGGCTTGGTGCAGCCTCCTGTGGCTGTGGACTCAATGCACTGTGATGTTTGGTAAACTCTGGCTCACTCTCACTCCCTGGCAAGTGCCCCAGGGTCAGAGGAGCAGAAGGAAGCGCATGCGTGCTTAGTAGAGGAAAAAAAAAAAAAAGCCCTCACTGCCCTCCTTGAGCACAAGGCGGGGCACAGTGCCTGGGCTGTGGAACTATTGTTCTCTTTTCGTGGCGCTAGAAATTGAACCTCAGCCCCCTTTTAATTATTATTATTGATATATATTAGAACAAGGTTTTGTGCCCTTTTTTGTTTTGTTTTGCTTTCTGAGGCAGGCTATTGCTATGTACTCCAAGCTGGCCTCAAACTTGTGGTGACCCTCGTGCCCCAGCTTCCAGGATGCCAGATCAAAGACAGGCACCACCACGCCTGGTGTGCAGTGCTTCTCTCATCCGGTAGCAAGTATACGCTAATGGGGTAAGATGAGGGACAGTTCTTCTTTTCTTCAGGTTTTTTCTGTATTTTTTATTATCTTCACGAATAAAGGTTAATTCTAGTATTAGAAAAGAACAAAAACAACCCAGGCATGGTGGTGCATGCCTGTAATCCCAGCACTCAGGAGGCCCTGGAGGCTGAGGCAGGAGGATCACCATGAGTTCCAGACCTGCCTATACTGTATAATATGACCCTGTCTCGGGGCTGGGGGTTTAGCTCAGCGGCATAAGCGCCTGCCTTGAAAGCAGACAGTCGTGAGTTCGATCCCCGGTACCGATAAAAAGGAAAAAGACCAAAAAAAACAAAAAAAACAAAAAAACAAAAAAAAAAAAAGACCCTGTCTCAAAAAAACCAAAAAAAGGGACAAAAACAAGCCAGTGGTGGTGACACAGGCCTGTAATCCCAGCTACTCAGGAACTTAGGCAACTTGGTAAGATTCTGTTTCAAAAAGTAAAGAGCAGGGCTGGGGATTTAGCTCAGTGGCTTAAGCTCCTGCCTGGCAAGTACAAGGTCATGAGTTCCTTTCCTGGTACCAAATGTAAGTAAATTAATTAATTAAAATAAAGTGCCAAGCTGGGCATAGTGGTGCACATCTGCTATCTTAGCACCTGGGAGACTGAACCATGAGTTCTAGCCTGGGCTACATACTGACACTGTTTCAAAAAATAAAATAAAGTGAAAAAGAGCTGGGGTACAGCTCAGTAGGAGAGTGCTGGCCTAGCACTGAAAGGCCCCATGTTCCCCTGCCAGTATTTGAGAAGGCAGGCAGGCAGGAAAGGGGGAAAAAGGCACAAACAAGACTACATCCTAGGGTGGGGCAGAGTTCAGGGTAGGATGCTTGCCTGGCATGCATGGGGCTTTGGGTCTGAGCCCCAGGGCCCATCCCAAACCATGAGAGTTCATGGGAACTTGGAGGCGGGGTCCCAGACAGGCCCTGCAGGAGGGTGCTGCCAGTCACCATGTCCCACCCCCTAGCCTGACCCCATACCACCCGGGGCTCACCTTAGCCCGGCGCAAGTCTTTTTCACCCCCAACCTGGGCCTCGATGAGATGGTCACAGTGGATGGTAGACGGCACGGCCACCTTGGGCAGCCCACTGCTGATGAACTGTAGCATGGCCATCTGCGCTGTGGCGTCCTGCATGGCCACGCGATCGGGCCGTAGCCGTAGATATGTCTTGCCCCTCTCGATTTCCTGGTTGGCTGGGTCATCCAGGTGTCCATACACAATCTTCTCTGAGAGGGTCAGTGGCCGGTTCAGTCTGATGGAGAGAGGAGAACCAGGCTGGTACCAGCTACACAAGCCCGGCCCACCCACAGCTGTTCCCTCCCAGGGAATGGCGTGCCCTGACCATGGCAGGGAAGAGGAGGCTGTTCAAGGAACTCTGAGTCCCACAGGGGAGGGACGAATGGTCCTGCTGCCTGTGTCAGCTCTAGCTGGTGCTCACTAGGTGCTCTGTAGATGAACAATGAACGACACAGTCACAAGAGATGATTTTTTTTTCCAAAATGGTATTTGCTTTTCCATCCCATTAATCACCTTTCTAATGAGTACTTATCAAGTATTTATCAAGTAGACAGCTCATCATTAATGTTCAATGTATTCTTGGCTTTTTTGTTGTTTTGACACAGGATTTTGCTATGTACTTCAGGCTGGACTTGAATTCAATTTGTAGCCCAGGCTGGCCTCAAACTCCCAATGATCCCCCTGCTTCAGCCTCCTGATGCTGGGATTGCAGGTGTGTACTACTATGCCTAGTGTTCATGGTATCCTTGGCTTTTTTTTTTTTAAGACAGGTACGTGCTATGTAGCCCAGGCTAGTCCCACACTCGTGATCCTCCTGTCTCTGCCACCCACATGCTAGGATACAGGAGTGTGCCACCACACCCAGCTATGCTTGTCATTTAATAAAATAACCAGCTGGATGTGTTAGTACACACAGATAATCCCAGCACTTGGGAGGCTGAAGCAAGAGGATCTCTGAGTTTGAGGCCTGAGCTTACATAGACAGACCCTGCCTCAAAAACACCAAGAGAAGTAAATAAATAAATAATAAAAGAAAGACTTGAGGATGTAGCTCAACACTCCCTGGATCCAATCTCCAGTGCCACAACAGTCACAGACAGGCACACAAACACATGCACAATAGACACACACACCCAGCAGAGACAGTACCAGCCCAAGTTACTGAGCCTGAGTCTCAGGCTGGCCCGCACTTCCTGCTGTGCCCTCAGCCGTGCTCCACACGGGACGATGGCAGCACCCACTCGCCCACTCCGCTATGCCAGCCTCACAGCTGGAGCCTGTGATGCTGTAGCTTCCCTGAGCCCAGCAGCACTCACTCCCACAGGTGTGCCCTCTAGAGCCCAGGGACAGAAACCAGACCATGACCCAGCCTCCCACTGGTCCTCTCCTCCAGACCCCATTCTGCCTCCCCTTAAAGCCAAAGTGACAGTTCTCGCCCAGCCCCCATGGGAGCACAGCCTCTGCAGGACTCAGCTGCCCCTGAAACCTAGGGCTGCACGAACCACAGAGCTGCTGCTCTGGGGTTCTGGCTCTGCTTCCGCCTTCTGGAAAGCTGAGGCCAAAGCTGACATCCTGGGAAGCAGCAGGACTCCACCCTCAGCCCAGAGCACTCACTTTCGGCTCAGCATTTCCTAAGCCTGTGGTGGCAAACCTAGGGCACATGTGTCACAGCCAGCTGTTTGTTATCACCGAAGGCTCTAGAAGGTTCACCATCATTGTTCTAAGCACTTTTATGTTTGTAATTCATGACAAAGATGAGGAAATTGAGGCAGGGAGAGAGCAAAGTGACTTGAGTGCCTGCGAGTCAGAAAATTCTGTGTGCGTGATTTGAGTTCAAGGCTACCCTGGGCTACATAATGAGTTCAATACCAGTTTAAACTACCACATAGAGTGCCACTGTCCTAACAAACCAAAATAAAAGCAGGAGGAGCCAGCAGAGCCACTGTGTCTGTGCCCTTCACATACCTTGACCTTTACCATCAGTCAGTGCCTGGGGAGAGGGCCCAGCACATGGTGAGCACTCGGCAATCAACGCTGGCACTGGGAAAGGAAGGGACTCCCCTGCCAGCCTGGATCCCAGCCCCTCACCCCCAAAGTCCCCTAAGTCCTTGAAAGCAAGTGTTCCTAGGGCACTGGCTCTGCAACAACCACAGGTCTGCTGGCAACTCAGAAGCTCCAAGCTCCCCCGCTGTCACGAGAGCCTTGCGTAAAAATAGCAGAGGCCTGTGGCCGGCATCTCCAGGCAGGCAGCTGATGACTCACCCCACAGCATACGTCTCGCCCTCCCTTCCCGGCCAGGGGAGCTGAAAATAGCACCCAGGCTTACAACCCGAGACCTTGGAAGCAAATGCCTGATGTGGTGGTATCAGGGCCTATCCATCACAAGCAAGGCTAAGACTGGACGAAGGCTGAGCTGAGACAGGCAAAGTGGATCCTCCCTGTGCACTGCTACCCTGTGGCCCCGGGGACAGAGATCCAAGTCCAGGGACAGACTCAGACCCCTTCTTGCTTCCAGCTGTTAAAGGAAAAACTAAGTGCCAGGTGTGGTGGCTCACGCCTGTAATCCCAGTACTCAGGAGGCTGAGGCAAGAGGATCACTGCGAGTTTGAGACCAGCCTGGGCTACACAGTGAGCTCAAGGCCAGCCTGAACTACGCAGCGAGACCCTGTCTCAAAAAGACCAAAAAAAAAAAAAAAAAAAAAGAAAGAAAGAAAGAAAAGCTAAGTGGCTGCCGTGACTCTCTGGCCAAGTGACTGACTGGAAGTATGCCGTGCATCAGCTCTCCCCTCTGCATGACCAAGAGAAGAGGTGAAGAAGGATTTTGCAGACAAAAGGAAACTCCTACGTTTTTTCATTGAGCCATGGTTTGAGAGCTCAAAGGATAAGTAAAATACTGTTCCCTGGAGAAAAGTATGCATGCGTCAGTGGCCAGTGGTTCTCCACGGACTGCCTTCAGAATCAGCTGGGCAGCTGGCTCCTCACACTTCCACCTCGTTGAATGCAGGCTCTGACTCAGTTCTGGGTGGAGGCTGGGAATCTGATGCTAAAAAGCGCCCAGGTGAGGCCGCACTTTGGACAAGGCCACCTGAGTCAGAGCTGCTAGGAGTGAGACAAAGGGGCAGGCAGCCTCAATGCTTTTCTAGCACACAGCCTGGATGCAGCCCGGGAGAACGCTAGAGCCAGAGGGATGCTTGAGCACGGCCCTCGGCTCCGCAGGTATGGAACTCAGACAGGGCGCCCAGTTCCCACACAGCAGGGAGGGAGGGGGCAGAACTATGGGGGCCGCTGAGAACAGAAACCGAGGCCAACCCAGTTCCTTCATGGCCCTGAAGTCCTTCCTGCTGTGCTGGAGGCTGTTGGAGGGGACAGTAAGATAGCTGCTACCCTTTAAACTGAAGTGGAGCCAGGATATAGCGCAGCGGCACAAGTGCCTGTCTGGCAAGCAAAAGGCTCTGAGTTGGATTCCCGGTACCCAAAAGAAAAAAAGAAAACGGAAGTGAGGACACCAGAAAACAGGAAGCAGAATGGCAGGAGGCAGACCAGGTGCAGGATGTGCAGAGCACCGAAGCAGAGCACAGCTGAGGCTCATGACTCCCAGGGTGTGTGGCCATGGGCAACTTGCAGAGCCTGCTCCTCAGCCATCCCAGGGTACACTCAGGATAGGCCGGCCCGAGTCAGTGTCAGAGGCTACCAGGCAGGCCCGGCCTAGCTCTGTTTGTAGCTGGGCAAATTCCAAGGACAGCCCTGACTGGCGTATATACTGCTGCCTGAGGTGGCCGCCGCCTCCTGCTGCAGTACCGTCTGCATCCTTCTGGGGGCAGCATCGAGCCCAGCACCAGCCACACAGGGCAGTGGTAAGGCAGAGATGCTGCCCTCTCACCACCCATGGGACAGGCAGGCTCCAGAGCTGCAGGTGCTTTCTTCTGGGTCTCAGGCCTGAGGTCTCCTCTGGCCGCCACACTAATCAGGGAACAGAGCGGAATCTCTAGCCACTGTGCTGATGGCCCTCAAAGGGGAAGCCTAGGGTCAGCAGCCTGCCCTGAACAGTACCTTCCCCAAGGCTTCCTGACAAGAATCCTCTCTGGAGACAGGCAGAAGTTTAGAATGCTCTTTCCCTGAAGGGACATTTGATCTTGTCACCATCAAAAACATCGCTACCAAGTACCTCCTGCACCTCGTGGCATCCTTCAGCCTTCCTGCCAGCTCCCACCCGAAGCCTTACCGTTTGCGAACGATGTTAATGTTCTTTTCTAGAAGGTCATAACGGATGTACTCGTTAGGCTCAAAGTGGCTCATGGCCACCTTGGCCCGTTGGCACAGGACTGAGGCCACATGGTACTGTCGCACACCCAGGGCTTTCTGCAGAATGAAAGATACCAACCATCAATGGAGTTTGCAGGAAAGTCCGTCCCCAGGGACAGCTCAGCAAGGTCAAAAAAAAAAAAAAAAAAAATCTGGGTATGGTGGCACACAGCTGTAATCCCAGCACTTAGGAGGTGGGGGAAGGATGTTCATGGGCAGCCTAAACTACTTCAACCCCACCTTCTCCCCAAAGCCGCTCCCAAATAATCAAACGAACAAAAGCCAAGGGGTAAGCTTTTATTGCTGTGCCCTGAGTACAGTCTTGGGTTCCTCATCAGGAGCACGGATGATACAGTGGCCACAGGAGGACGGCCTGCAGCAGGAAAGAGCACAAGGGATGCAGAAGTCAGGGTCACCAGGGAAGGTGTTTCAACACATGGAAATCCCCCAGGCACTGATGGAACCAGCTCTGGTGTGCAAAGCGAGGGCAGAGCAGACAGGACAGTTGTGTGACAGCTCTTATCCCAGACCAGCTGTCACCCCTGCCACACCTAAAGCTCCTGGAGCACGAGGATGGAGCCTTAGCTCTCACTCAGCTCTGTCAGGACCACCCAGCCTGTGTCAGACACAGAGACCTGCTGACTAAGCGGAGGAATGGGGAAAGTCCAGGGCTCCATATCCCTTCCAAGGGTGGTGCCTGGGCCAGGTGAGCAGCCAAGTGCTCCAGGCCAGCCTAGACAACTTAGCAAGATCCTGTCTCGAAATAAATCTGAAGGACTAGGGGTGCAGCTTAGTGACAGAGCTCTCGCCTAGCACCAGACACACCCTTGAAGGTGTGGTGTCCTGACTGACTTCCAAGGAACAGAATGTGACACCCCATTCCACTGTGTGACTTCTCAAGACTAGATCATAAAAACACCTTCTGCCTTTTTGTTAGGCAGTGAGGGACTTCCAAGAAGGGATGTGTACTATTTTTTTTTTTTTTTTGGTACTAGTTACTTTTAAACTGTGGATGACAATCTTCACAGGTATGCTGTGACCCAGGGAGAAAAAACAAATGCAAAGAAATCAGTGGAAAGGAAGCAGCCTTCCCTCACATGGGAGTTCCCAGCCCAGGCTGGCAGGGCAGAAACCACTGCTCCAGGCTCCCTTTTCTGTCACCTGCTACCCTCTGAGACAGAACCTCATACTGGCCCACAGCTGACATCTGGAACCGCACCCCAGCCATCATCCACTTTCACACAACAGAAGCAGCTGTGACCTCCCCAAGGCAGGCACGGCCCCCAGGTCCCCTGGGCACAGCCCCACTGTCTGCCACACTAAGGGATGTGAAGGACCCCTGGTGACATATCCAAGGACCTCCAAGGTGCCACTGTACCAGAAGGATGCAAAGCAATACAGCCATAGCCATAATGAGTGGGAGGAGCCCAGCCCACAGGGAGGGGGAGACCTGGATTAAAATCTGGCCTGGCTGTTCATGCCTGGGTGACCTTGGACAATTTAATGTAAGCACTGCCAAAAGAAAACATATAAAGTCCTGAGTACTGTTTCTAATCACCCCTAGTGTACAGATCCACCCCACTGTGCTAAGAGAAAACTCGCTTTCCTTGTTTATTAATATAGCCTGTATTATAGGCTTTTCAATGCCTACATATAACCTGTCTACTTTTGCAAATTGTCATAAGTGTTGGTTTTCTTAGAAATAAAAATGTGGGGCTGGAGGTTTAGCTCAGCGGCATAAGCGCCTGCCCTGCAAGCAGGCAGTCGTGAGTTCAAGCCCCGGTACCGATAAAAAGGAAAAAGACAAAAAAAAAAAAAAAGAAAGAAAGAAAAATGCGATAATACTACCTAGCGTCTGACGCAGTAGGTAAAACCATGAACTAAAATCCTAATGGTACTGGGAAAAGTACTTGATTGCTGGCTGCAAGGGGATGCTGAAGCCAAGTATGCGTGACATGGCAGCACCAAATCACAGTGCAGCTGGGCTGCTTTTGCCAGCTGGGCATGGCAGTGCACATCTGTAACCCTGAACTGCTCACTAGGCTGTGACAAGAGGATTCTAAGTTCGAAGCCAACTTATGCAACTTAGTATGACATCCCCACCCCCCATCTCAAAATAAAATCCAAAAGGCTAGGGACGGAAGTCAGAACACAGCCTGCATGTGTGAGGCTTTGGGTGTGATTGATCTTCCACACTGCAAAACACTGTAACAACCTATGGCAGCGGACAATAGCTTAGGTGTAGCAGCGGACAACAGCTTAGGCATAGCAGCAGACAACAGTTTAAGTGTAAAGACAGAGTTCCAGCCATGCCCGCTGTGTGGAGAGGAGCACTGCGCTAAGAACCCTGTGTGTATAGTCAGCGACTCTGCACAACCACCCAGTGAAGCAACACCTGTGAGTACCCCCTTTTCCCAGGGAGGAAACTGAGGCTTGCATGGGGGATGAGGACCAAGGCCATTGCAGCAAGTGAGACTGAACTCAGCCCCACTCACTCACTGGCCTCTGGTTGCCTGTTCCCCAACCCCAGAAGGGAGATAACATCACAGCGCTAAGATTGCAGGAAGTCCTTGACTCAGTCCTTGACCACAATGCAGCGCTACGCTGTGCTCCTTTTCCAATCGAAGATTGTGCTATTTCCCTCCTAAGATTGGGCACAGTGCTGCATATCTGTAATCCCAGCACTCAGGAGGCTGAGGCAGGGGGATTACAAGTTCAAGGCCAGCATGGACTATAAGACGCTGTCTCAAAAAAGAAAAAAAAAAAAAATGAACAAATGAAACAAGGAACAGCAGTTGGCACTGACTAAAAGGACTTGCTGGCCATCTGGCCTCACTCCAGGTTCACACTGTCCAAAGGGCCAGCCACAAGCTATATGAGAAATGCGCCCAGTGCACCTGAGGAACTGATCCCCCGATTGAACCCCAGGCTTTGGCACTCTGCTGCATCCCTGGCTCTTTTTTATTTATTTATTCGTTTATTTTTTGAGATAGTCTCAGTAAGTTGCCCCAGTGGGGCTTGAACTTGTGATCCTCCTACCTCAGCCTCCAGGAGTGCTGGGCTGACAGGTGTTAAGGAATGGCATTTTTTTTTCTTTTGAGACAAGGTCTCACTATGTAGCCCAGAATAGCCTTGAACTTGAGCCAGTTTCCCTGCCTCGGCCTCCGGATTACAGGCATGTGGCATCACACCTGGTTTCATAAACTCCTCTCGAGGCACACTACGCTTGTGAACCTGGGTGCAGAGCCTGACCTTAATGCTGATTCAGTGCCTTATCCAGTCTCTCTCTACCTGCAGCCCCTTGGGGTCTACAGCCTCCTGCCATGGCTGGACCTCCCACTGTGTCAGCCACACACAAAGCAAGCACAACTCCAGGATGCTGGGCCAAGCCTCCAGACAAATGCACCCATTCGGCCAGGCTCCCCAGGGCAGATGTTTCTGGTTCTCAACACTCTGCATCCAGGGGTTTAGTGCACTGCTACAGGCACCTAACTGAACGGTAGCTCAACCCTTGCTCCTCTGCATTCTTTTTAGGAACAGCCTGACTGATTTTGCCAAATGTCCTGCAAAAATCCACACTCACCCTTGCTGTTCATCTGTCTACCCACAATCCCAACAAGAAAAGGAAACAATGTTACCCCCCTGTGAGACCTTGGGGGACTTACTTAACTCTTCCAGGCCTCCAGTTCCCACACCTGTGCAAGGGGAAACCTCAGCCCTGCTCCCTGCTTCAGCTAAAAGTTTAAAATGCAGGAAAGGTTCAATCCCCAGTACCAAAAAAAAAAAAAAAAAAACCCAAACAAAATGCAGGAAAGGTGCATAAAGTGCCCAGGGCTGGGCTGTATTAACGTACTTACCCAGGGAGACTGACTTCCTGGACCCCTGGATGGCACAGATCTCATATGGAAAAAAAGACTAGCTGTGGGTCTCACACCTCCACTCTTAGAATAAAAATAAACACACCTGTTTATTGAGCATCTACTCTGTGCCAAGCATGTTTGGTGCCAATCTGGAATTCCCACAACACTGCAAGGCCACTGGAGTCCTGCAGATGTGGGGACTAAAGCTCAGTGAGTTAAGCCAAAAGTCACACAGACAGGTATGCAGTCAACCCGGGCCCAAGCCCATGTCTCCTGACTCCTGCTCCCTCCAGATTTGGGGACAGGCTCTGTCCTTGATGTCCAGCATGGTATGACAGTATAAACTGAGTCACTGCAGTGCTGGCACTTCTGTCCTGTGACCCTTGGCAAGTTATTCAACCTCCCCAAGTCTTAGTTTTGCCACAGTAAAAAATGGAGATAAACTTCAGTGTTAACACATGAGGACCAGCAGAGTGCTTGGCCTGGGACTTGCGCAGTGTGAGTGACCACCGCACTACTTCGTTTCCCAGAGCAGCGGGCGCTAGGACCCGGTGGAGGGATGGAGCTTGTGACCTTCTGAATCCTACAAATAAGCTCAACTGGTCCTTGCCTTGAAAGTCGAGCCCCTCTGGGTCTCTGGCATTCCTGACACCCTTCTCAGGGGCTTCTGCTGCTCCACCTCCTTGCTCATCTGCCCTTCAAATTTGAGTTCTTAAAAAAAACCTAAGCTGATTTTTTAGTGCCTCTCTTTCTCCTCTCCTTTGGATTATGTTCAGTGTGTTAGAATCTGCCTTGGCAAACTCCCATCCCTATTAAACACCTTTTGTTTATGGGACCCTGACAGCAAGATCCCATTTAGTTGGGCTCTGAATAATACAGAATGTGCCTTTCTCCAAAGCACCATCAGATGAACTTTCTGGACTATTTATGTTTGTTTTGTTTTTGAGTACTGGAAATTGAATCTAGGGATTTAGCATTGAGTTACATCCCCAGCTCTTTTTATTTACTTATTTATTTTTTTAATTTATTTTTATTTTTTTTTGTCTTTTTCCTTTTTATCGGTACCAGGGATCGAACTCACAACTGACTGCTTGCAAGGCAGGCGCTTATGCCGCTGAGCTAAATTCCCAGCCCCTCTTTTTATTTATTTTGAGAGTTGCATTAAGTTTCCCAGGCCAGGCTCACATTTGTGATCCT